CACAGTGAACACTGGACAATATATTCCATGTATAACACTCATAGATTATAATTTTGCATGGTCAATGTACATAATTAATAATTAGTTTACCTTTGTATGGGGTTAGAGTGGTTGTTATTGCATGATACTTTTGTATTTTTTTTTATTACCATATTTCACATGACTCTGTGTGATTTTCATTTCTGAATAAGCTGTTCGTTGCTGTATTTGCATGTTTTCCCCTTCCAATTATATAAGAAAAAGCTTGACTTTGTTTCAAAAATCAGTGCATTTTGTCATGTTTCCATGTCCCAATGCTTCCATACATCCTGTTTATCCAGCATGGGGAATTTCAGCTCTGTCTTTAAGTTTTCATTTGAAGCTGAAGATGTTAACTTACAAGGTAAGTTAGGAAAAAGTAAGCCAACTTTTTAGAATTAAATGAAAGATTCTCTCACATTTTCTAGATCTACATCAGTTTTGTAAAGTTAAATTGGCATTTTACCCTTTTGTTTTTTGATTTTTTCAAGTAATTTGGCTGGAGATATCTAACACGGGTTCATTTATACTGATCTCTGGAATGGAACATATTGTCCAGTGTTCACTGTGAGTTGGTAGATCTCTACAGGTCTTCTACCATACTTAGAAGCTAAAAATTCCAGCATGTATCTTTACAGGAAAGAGTGAGGTTTTGTTGTACCTCATGTGAGATCAGTTTAGCACTACTGTGAATTTTTAATTGGACTATACTCAAAATCTTTCACTGCATTGTTATAGTGGTATGATGAAAAGTACTTTCACAACATGTCTTCTCTTCCATTTCTTTAAAGGTGGTGTAATTGTAGGTGAGTTTGTATAGATACACATCTATGATTATTCCGGCCTCGCATATTTTACATGTTGTTGCATCTGGTAGGCAGCTTTGCTAAGGAATTCCACTGAAAAAATACAAATTTTTACATTAAAAAAAAAGAAAAAATCTGGTTTTGAAATAATCCAGAGAAATCTACAAGAGATAGAAAGGGGTAGAATCTGACATACTTATTTAAAAAAAAAACAAAAAACAACAAACTGCAATGAAGGTAAAGAAAATGCGGAACATTTTTCTACTACTGATGTTTTCTAGTCATTATAAGAAGTGAATGAACAGGAGTCACACTATTTGGGAGTGTTATGAGTTCTGAATAAATGCATTTTACTTATATTATAAGTGACAGTGTATGTAATTCCTGCAAATATCATAATCTTCTCTATAAAACTCATACTTTTCTTGTCAAAGTGCCTTGGCCTTTAAGTTGCTTGTTGATGATAATTACTTGCAGGTAACACTGGCAACCAATGGCAAATCTGCAGACTTCAATGTTGTTGAAGAAGAGCCTTGGAAACGTGAAAACTAAGTGAAGAAGTTCCTAGCTGCATCCTTAATAAGTCCTGAAGCTATCTTATGGCAGAAGATACCATGATTAAAGAAGAAGATTTCTCTTTCCTTTTTTTTTTTTTTTTTTCCTATTTAACATCTACAGTTTCTGCTTAATTTTGTAACTGAAACGTAGCAAAGATCTCATCAAGTCATTGTAGTGTCTTTGCCAAGCAATGATCCATAGCCATCTGTCTCCCTTGTGTTACTGTCTGGATGATGCACCTGGAGAATGCTCCATGCAGTGCAATGCGCTCTCACCCACTTCCCCTTTCATTCAAGACACAGAGAATGTAAATGCTGCAAAATGGGAAGATCAAAGTGCCAGTACAGTTCACTACAGGGACTCAGGGTCACAGATACAAGAGAAACATACCACCACGTAAGCCTTCAAGTGTTCTGGTGACTCTTGTGGCATACCTGATCTGTTTATCACTGTATGGCTAAAATACCTTTTGAAAACATCCGTAAAGATTTCTGTTTGTTTTGATAATAACAAGCACTGTACTTTTGTGCCTAGCTGTACTTTGAATTGAGCTTAGATCTGGGGGCAGGATTAATGCATAGAAGTCAATAAATTATCCCAGACATTTTGTTAGATCAGTACAACTAAAATTTAGCATCAAGAGAAGACCTTAGATTTCTATGTGCATGCAGTGTGTTTTTATCAGATGTCCCAGGGCAGGTGCAGCCTTTATTTTATGCTAGGGCTGTGCTGCTTTGTGACCACAATATGCACAATACAAGGCAGTATAATAACAGGGATGGTAGTTCCTTCACTAAATCTATGGCTGATGAGCAAAAATACAGAAAACCATGGACTCAGTTGTGCCATTTTTAATCAAAGTAGGTGGTACCTGACTATCCACCTTGCTCCACTGATGTCAGAGGGGTTTATCACATGGATGGGATACTCAAGTAAGGTACTACCAAGATTGATTATGGATGTCATAATTGAGTACTTAATAATGAGCTGCAGACAAGTTCTGAACCCATTACTCTTACAGAATTTTTGAATGTGATCATCAGTTGCATTTGCTATGAAGTGAAAGCCATCTTTCAAGTATGTAATGTTTCAGAGAGTGGCTAAATCCTGAATTCATTGCTAAACCAAATTCCTTATAAGGTTAAGAAAATTTGTCCAGGGTTAGGACTGAATAAAAATGAAACCAGAATTTCAGGATTTAGGTCAATATGTTGAATTTACATCTCTGTCTCTTTTGCAGAGTAATAAGTATACAACTCCCTAATGTCAGAGAAATGTTTCTTTGAGCACATGTGTCTGACTCAACCTGTCAGAAGAAATTGCAGTGAGAATAAACACCTTGTGAAATTTTTTTTAAGGTGCTTGTTAATACTTAGCAATTTTAAGATACTGGTGAATACCATTATACTGTTAGCAACGTTCCATAGCAAAGCTGAGCCACGTGGCCTTGGAAGGTTCTACTCACAGAACAAGCTTTGTGCAGTTTTGGGGGAACTCTCAGAAGTTTTCAGAATGAATCAGAATATGAGCATATGGTGAACTTAAAAATGGCAAGAAACAAACATTTATGGAAATAGGCCATTCAGTGTCTGCTCAAACCTGTCATGGGTTTAAAGGGGAATAATGTGTTTAACTGTAGAGTGTTACTTGGCTCTGTAGAAGCTATTAAAGTGAAAATATAATCTGCTTTTGTTCTTCTGCATTCATATAAATATCTCTGAAACTGCACACGGACCTAAGCGAGCCAAGGCTACTTGCATGATTAATGATGTGCAAGATCAAGTCCATTGTCAGAGTATCTCTCATTTAAGCATTTATCGTGGAATATTTTCCTTACCACTGTATTTTTGTCATCACTTGAATGCCATGGCCAAGCAAATCTTAAGCAAAATGGCCTATATAATTTAACCAATATTGAACCACTGTGAATTCTGTAGGCCTCTAACATGTATTAGAGGGGGAGGCCTTTCCCAAAGGCCTCCTGAAGGATCTTGAGGATTTGATTTTTTATCTTTTTGTGAAGGATGGAATTGTAAGTTGTTCAGAGAAGTGGAAGGCAGGTTGTATTCTCTTTTCTGCAGTCATTGCTATTAGCATATCCAGAGTTAACCTCTGTCTAGCTATTGCTTCCCAAGTAGCATTCACTGGGTTATGTGCCAGAAATGTGCCTGGGATGGTGTGTAGGTACTGTTAAATGTTCCCTACTCTGAGGGTGCTGGCTCTCATCAAGTGAAATTTGCTGTCACTCGAGTGGTAGTTATATCCAAGAATAACACACAGCATGTACCCCATTTTGTATCCAGCATTCTTGAGCTGTTTCATGGCACAGCTCACCCATTAATAGATGATTTTTCTGCCTCTCCACCACAGCAGTTTCTTAGGAGCAGCGACACTGATTGCTTGCATTGAAAGTAGCTTTAGAAAACTGGTCCATATACTTTTAGCTGTCATTTGAAACTGTTTAGCAGTTGGAAACAAACAGGAATGTCAGCAACATGTGACTAGGCAGCTCCACAAAATTACATATTGAGAAACACTTAGAATATGCTTACAGCTATCCACTTGGGATGTAATGTCCTTTGAAGAGTGCTTCTTTGGATAGAGACTAGGGAAGGAAGGAATGCAGTGCTAGAGAAACCCCACCCACAAATGGGAGAATAAATTTGGATCTTTTGATAGAATTAGAATAGCAGACTGTGATTTTAAAGTGGTAATTCTGTAGATACAGTAACTCAGGGATTTTTCAAAATATAATTATGATGGTATTTCTCTATTTAAATGTGGATGTGGGAGAAGGAGAAATGTTGGGTTTCGTATATTTCTCTGCTTGTAGCCTGACTGAATATTTAATATAGTGCTACTCCAGTGCAGCACTGTATTAAATCATCAAAAAGCTTTCCATTTCTGTGGGAAAATGTAACTCACTCTTGGCTTTCATTTCTCGATTTGCTCATTCCACGAGGCTGGGTTGCTACTTAACTAGATAAACAGAAAATAACCCAGGGACCGTCCACTTCAGCTAATCCAAGCTTCACGTTTCAGCAGGCAGTGCTGGTTACTGGCCAGCCTCCTTTTGCTTTCACTAGGAGTCTCAATGCATTAATTTGCATCTGGCAGTTCTTTTTGTATCTGCTCACAGTGCTGGGGTGGCAAAGTTAAAGAAAAAGCTCAGTGAAAAGTCATTTGTTTTTTGTGTAGTTCATATTAACATTGTTTGCTGCATTTGGTGCTCTGTCAGTTCCCCCCACCTTTGTCTGTGCAACTGTGATATCCTTTGACCTTTGGATTGCTGGCAGCACATTGGCACATGGAAAAGTCTAGACCAGGCAAAGACTCAGTTCATTGCATACTAAATGACATACATGCTTACACACTTGCTTTATGCATTTACTGCTGAAGCTGGGTCAGCATTCTCATAGTGTCTGTTCGCTGAAAGTAAAGCACACAGCACGTTAGAACTGCAGGAGAGGTGGAGCACTTTGCCGCTTAAATTGTTTCTTCATTGCTTCCCTTGAAAACAGCAGCTGCACCAGCCTTTTAAGAAATGTGTGTGGGTCTTACACACAAAGATTCTTCAGATAGGTAGGGCAAAACCCACTTGGTCCTGTTACAAGATGTGCTCTTTCCTTTTGAATTGGTGAGAAGCTCAGTACACCTTTGAAAAACTGTTTGCAATAGTAAAAACTGTATCTGCAATGCTTTGACTATGTGAAAGATCCATTGAAATCTGTGGGAGTCACAACGTTCCAGGAAAAGTCAAGTCCCTTCCTGTCTCTCTTAAGTTATAAGACATTTCACAATCGCATCCTAGGGAATAGCCTTCATCTATTTATAATGAAGTTGATTCTCACATCCAAAAGGTTTCTGCCAAGATACTACTTTTATACCTAATTGTTTCAGTGCTGCAAGTCCAACACTGAATTTAAACTCAGCACAAAAAAATGCTGATTTTTCCCATGGTTTTTTTTTCTGAGATATAGCTGATCTCAATTTCTTTCTCAAAGCACATGGAATTCCAGACTTTATGCCACTTTAAAAAGTAGGAGTAATATAGATTTCTAATTTGTTTTCCATCACTCCCCAGGTCACTAGTTTTCCAGCAGTAGACACGCAGAAGACTAGACTGTTCATCTGAGAAGCTGAGGCATCAGCATGTGAACAAATTTATTCTGATGACTTGCCTGGATTTTCTTTGCTTCCTTGCCTTCACTTGTGTTATTGCAGCCTTGTTGTAGCAACGCAGCAGCAGTCGCACAAATTGCCATAACTATAGACAATATTAAACCTCCCCTCTAACATTCACTTCTCTCTTTACCTTTAAAAAGGCTCTGAGCTTTAGTACTGAGCTCAGAAGAATCCGTTTATGGAGATGTAAAGGTATAACTGTTTCTCATCTCTTTAATTTCCATTCAGCTTTTTTTTATTGCTGCATTTGAATTAATTTACTGAAGGATAAATAAGGGCACTTTATAAAAATGTACTGTAATATTATTCTCTTATGAGCCTGAAGACTATCTTGGTTTTATTACTGTGACTTTTAAGGCCACAATTAAGATTTTTTTCATATTAGCCATTATGATAGGTGTATAGTCCATTGGGACAGTTCACCTCAGCTATAATTCCGCATATAAGATTATGTAGAAGCTCCTGTTACCAGCAGAAAGAATTCTTGGAAAGATGAGTTATCTTCTTCTCTCCAGTAATACTGGTGACTTTGAAGGGAAAATACTTACCCAGTTATCTTTGTCTAAAGAATGATAGGGAGAGTGTAGTTTCAAGTACTAAAAAGAACAAAGTATTTACAACAGTGAAGTGTCAAAGGCTGTCAAGCTGTAAATTGTTCAGTTTTGCCATGCTGTTTTTGAAAATGTTGTGTTCTTGCTCATGATTTTCCTTAAGCAATGCATTTAGTGTCTATTCCTTCCAAAGTCATCAATCTTTCTTCCCCCTTGGGCACCAAGCCTGTGTCTCCCCTCTGACAGCACACAGACTTGAGGCAGGACTCCTGGAGGAGCCCCTGGGAGCAGTGCCTGGTACAGGCTCTGCCATGGGTGCCTCCCTCAGTTTTTCCTCCTGGTCATACTTTATGTTCAATGGAAATCTGCTGCTATGAATGAGTCAAACCGCTGCTGATGCCCAGGTGCTGGTAATTCTTCTCCTTTGAGTGGCCTCCCTGGCACAAGGTTCTGAGGAACTGTCCCTCACAGGTGCCCACCATCCCAGAGACATCTTCCATTATTTAGGGGAAGCCCAGTGACTCCTCACTAACGGGCTGATATAAATCTAATGGATAAAGTGCAGTTACAACTATGAGTCTTACATAAAAGCCAGGATCCAGACACTGGAAAAGCCTAGAGCACATGAACAAGCCACTGAGTAGGTCTCTACTACTGTCCAGGATGGACATAACCAACAGCCTAATGCACAATTTGGGGAGACGAGAAGACTTGTGATGTTTCTCACTTCACCCAACCTTTGATCCCCTTTCATTTCTAACTCCATCCTGCTGCAGAGCCAATGCTGATCAATGCTAGAGCATCCAGTCCTTCTAGTCTTCTACTCAACACTGAGGAGTCCTGCAGCTGTTTCTGATGTTGCTCTGTGGCACACACCATTGCACGGAGGGAAGCTGTCACAGGCAGCATCACACAACCTGGATTGTCTCGTACCTGTATATTGCTTTGTACATAAATAGTGTAGTCTGCTGGAATTTTTGTATCGTTCTTTTCAATTCCTTTTTCTACAGTTTTTCAAAGACTGTATGCAAACTGTGCTTGCATATTGATTTTGCAGTCAGTATTGTAGATTATAGCATTTCTGTGTTGGTATTTTGTATGGACTTGTGAGTTCTTGTGTACTTCAGGTTGTCCTTCCTACTTAAAGACAACTGCAGACACTTCCATCCAATATATCCTGCTCCTTTCTTAAATATATCTTATTTCCTATGATCCAGTATGAACTCTTCTTGTAGAATGCATCAGAAAAAGCTGAACGTGTATTTATAGTGTTAAATATTGTGTGCTCAACACTGATTTAGTGAAGAATAGTACAGGTTTTAGGGGTTTGTACTTGTTCCCTGGAAACTACAGTGTAGACTGAATTAAATTACCTAGTATCTGTAATTTACAGACACACAAATATTTTCTTAGAATGTTTTCTATGGGATCATATAAGGTAGGGAAGTAATTCTTTAAAGGTGATCAAAACCAGTTTTCTTATGACATTTAGGATCAATGAAATATTTTTGTGTTAGTTTTGGTGATGAATTATAGACAAAGCACAAAATGCAAGAAGCAAATAAGAATTTCAAGATGTCCTTAAATGCTGCAGTCCATCATGGAACAATACTATAATAATCTGAGCAATCTTCTAGATTGACTGTCTTGGGCAATCATCCCTCACTTTTATAATTTTTCCTGATGTTACCTTTGCCAAATCCTGCAGTTCTTCCTTAGGACCTGTTATTGTATAACTGACTGGCTCAGAATGCAGTTTATAGAAAATAGATCAGGGTAGGCAAAAAATATGCTGTCAGGAACCCCACCCATCTTGCTACAATACAGTGTGTGTGAGTTCAGCCTGCGGAAAAAGTTCAGGATTTTGCCGCCTAATTTTGCCTTCTCGAAAAAGGACCAACAGAACCACCATGGGACCAGTGTAATTGGGTAGCATCCATGCAAATACCTCCTGTTTTCTTAAGAATTTTTTAGAGAATAACCACTATATTTTTCAACCCAAATGACAGTTACTTCTCATTTTGGTAATTTCTTCCCATTAGGCAAATACCTGTTGGCATTAAGGCCGTGGCTATAATAATTTCAACTTAATTAATAAGGAACAGTTTTTAGAGGAATAAAAATAATATAAATATTTGTAACAACTATATAACAAACAAAAATAATCTTCTATGGCCTACTAGCTCTTTGACTGTAATTCAAAACAAAGAAAACATCGAATAGGAAGGACTGCTGTCCCAGTATGACTGATACTGGGTATCTCTTCAACTATTCAGAAATCTGTGGGGCCATGTTATTCTGCTGAGGTTTTGGAGCCTAAGTTTCTAGTAGATATATATATGTAGGAAGTGTGCTGATATGCCCTTGTATTTTGATCTATATTGTATTTTAAATCAGATGTAACAGGTATTAACTTAATAGGAATCACAGGTAGAATAGTGATGAGTTACTAATAGCTGTAAAACCTTATTGATACCAGTTTTGACATTTTGTTGAAGCATGATGTCCAGTGCCTCTCTGCACTTAGTGTAGATAATGTAGCTATCAACACGTAATTTCAGTGAAATGGTGTATACAGTATGTGTAGCTTTAAATTAATTTAATCGGTTTCTGTGTGTTGAGACATAGTAGAAAATTAGACTGTGTTTTAACATTTTGTTCTGCTTTCTCTTTTTCATTTGTATCTGGGTTTGTTTGTTTTGACCGTTCAACTGATTAGGTTCCACAGCTTAGTAACTAATTTATCTGTCTCTTATGGAGTACCCAGTTTTAATAACATTCAGAATCATGTATGCAGCCAGACCATTGTAAATATGTTAATTTTAGTTTTCAACTATCTAACCAGTATGGTGTGTGTTAGAAGCTGCATGTGTGTAGTTCCTTGGCAGTGAGTGAAAGTGATCCCAGCATAGATTTGCTGCCTGGTGAATACACTTGTTATGACATAAAGAATTAATGTTCACCTGGAATGACAAGCCTTTGTTTTATTTTCTTCTTGTTTGCTTGAAATGTTTGGACTCTTTGTCACCAGAAGTTTAGTAAGTCACCATTTAAATTGGCACAATGAATGAAGAGAACTGCATCTAACTGCATTCCTGTTGGATGCCTGGGCTGCTTTTGGCTCCGTGCATCACTCAGCCCTTAGTCACATCAGGGCATCACAGGATCCCTCTGAGTCACTTCCAGTCACTTCTTGACCACAGATGCCAGGAAAGCAGAGCAGTCCCACAGCTGTGACTGGGCAAGCCTGCAGGCAGCAAGGGGCTGCCAGTTCTCTCCAGAGTGCCTGAGAAGTCCAAGTAGGAACCTCTGCTTCATCCATTCAGAGGAACAGTCTCTGAGAAAGATGAACACACTCATGGGCTAAGGGGCACTGTTTCTTTCATTGTTAAAAAGGGATATTGGCATTTATTGGAAAATAAATACCAAACTAAATGCTTCTGAAGCTCCTGTGGTCGTTGTACAAGTCTGTTATTTACAAAAGTATGTCTGATAATAAAAAAAGGTGATCAACTACACAGTCAGTGGCAAAAATCTAAAATCAGAGCTGCAGTTCAGATCTATAAGAAAATAGAACCTTGCAGCAACAAGAAGCTGATTCATTCCTAGATACTCTGGACCTGGATCGTATAAATATAATCATCCCCTCTAGACAGAAAGAAATAAAAATTAGGCCCCAAAGCACAGAAACTATCCTTCTTGGTGATTCTCATTATGATGCTTCAGGATGAATTGCACACTGGAGTTCTCTGTGCTGCCTGCTCATCATCCCTTGCCCCTTCTTTAAGGTGACCAGGCATGAACTGGAATGTTTTGCGATGTTCTGTTGTAAAAAGGATTAAAAAGAAGAGGGATAAGGTTGGTCTTTACACTCAGAAAGTTCCAGAGATTTTGAAATGACATACTGTACAGTATCTATAGCACAGTTTGTTTAGAAATTAATAAATGCAGATGATAAAATTTCTCCCAACCCTGGGCTCTGTTCTTGTATATTGTAGTTGGAATGCCTTGTAGACTGATTCTATTTTTGTAGTTCAGGTCCTTTCCTCTTTACAAGGATTGTTAGTCATTGGCTTTTAATGCTTTCTTACAGAGTGAACTGATTTCTGTAACTTTCATGTATAAAACAAACTAGACATTCTTTCTATACTGGAAATAGTCATGAATATAATGTTTCACTAAGTGTTGTACCTCTTATGTACATATCATCAATAAATGTTGATTCATAATTTTCATGGCTTACATCTGTGAATTTTAATTTCAGCCTGGGCTCAATATGGGAATGCTTTGTGTAGAAGTTTAGATAAAGCAGTCTGATGAGAGAGGCTGCCTGTTCTGATAACTACATGCGGGGTAGAAGATGGGCCTGACTTTGCCAAAGAGTTAGAAATCTCACCCCTCACTTTATCCTCCAAAATATTCCAGGATGCTGGCTGCAAATGAGCTCATTTCACACAAAGGCCAGGATTCACTAACTTCAGTTCTTGGCAATGAAGCCTAGAGAAGTGAAAAGACACGTTAGAAGAGTAGGAGGACACAAATCAATGGGTGCAGTTGCTTTAGAAACCTACTTCCCTCCCCTGGCTGCTAAAAAATAAATCTTTTATTCATAGCCTTTCTAAAACAAAATAATAAACAAAGCCCGTAGCGGAACTTCTGAGTTCTTTATAAAGAAATCAACAGTATTTAACACATAAATTAAGAGGTCTCATGGAGTGAACCATGGCCCAGTGGAGTGGCAGTTGCCAAGTGTGGAGAGAAAGCTCCAGCATTTATGCATGCTCGGAATAGCAGGCGCTACGGAAATAGCAGAGCTACCGGTGTGTGATAAAGGCACAACCGAAACCTCGGCTGTGAGCACTGACTGTGTGCACAACCCTGGGCTTATTTCTTCTTAATCATCCACTTGAGAAATTTCCAAAGAAATCCAGGCATGGCAGGAAGTGGCTTTGGCAGTGCCTCAGCTGGCGGTCTGCCCTCTGAGTCAGTAACGAACCAAGTCCTGATGTGGTGCTAGGAGGATCTTCGGGCAAAAAATAAATCTGGTTTACTGAAAAAGTAAATCTATCTGCTGCCATTTTGATACCAGGGCAAAAACGGTGATGAGGCCTGTGTTGCTAAGAAATGCATTCTGCTAACATAAAATTCCTCACTGAAGTTTTTCCAGGATGCCCATCACTCACATACTTCATGTGTACTCTGTAGGTTCAGATTCCTTCCATAAAAGGAATCTGTCTTTTCTTCTGTTACACATCAGAATAGAAGTTTAAAATTAAAGGTTCAACACCAACCTGTGTATGTTGCTTTTTACAAAGCAATGTTTCTGCAAAATGACCTAAAATAACCAACCCATGCAGGAACCAGTACTGCAATTTTATGAAGCCGACCTTTCTGAAAATACACACCCCAAAGGCTTTTTCTCTGAGCCCTTGCAAGCCCCTTAGTACCCTTTTCTCTATGTCCTTAGAGAAAAAGATTATTTCAGGAGTGTGTTTGTGTCTGGAATGTGTCCCTCTCTACAGGAAAGAATCTGCTAGAAGGGGCTATAAAAGCCAGTGATTTATGAATCATGGGCCCATATTAAGAGATATTTCTGTATCTCCTCTCAGGCATGAAACAACAACTGAGATAATACTTCAGGGCTGTTAGATCGGAAACAATCTTCTTTGTATTTGATCGTACATGTGAACAGGACAAGGTTATGAAACAGGTGGCCCCAATGCACAGTGCTTTAGGAGGAAAACAGCATTTCAAAGTACACTCAGTTGGGCTGGAAGGAGTTATTTCAGCAAGCACTTGCATTGCAATAATGTAGAAATACCCCAGCAGGGCTTGGTGTCGTTTTGTTTCCAAAGCTGTGCAGAGCCCTGTGCAGGGGTACTGCTGACATCTGAAGCTCTAGGCTTTGCAGTGCTGGGCAGGTGACTGTGCTGTCTCACTTGTGCAGCATGCAATGAAAGCAGGAAGGAAAACAGATTGCATGCAAGATAAGGTCTTGTGGTCCTGGTGGTTCAGGCAGACAAGTTCTGTGGTGATAAACAAGATGTGTCTGTGTAGACAGATAGAAAACTGACTGCTGCCCACCAAAACTACAGGAATAAGGTCTGGAGGAGAAAGGCCTCACATTCTTGGAAGGGCTTCAGAAGTACAGGGATGAGCATTTAGAAAAGCAACACAGAGTGTTTTACACAGTGTTGTGCTCTTCGTTCTCACTCATGACTGAACTAAAAATGTTTGCTTTTCATGTAGTCATCTGTAAAACAGATCTATCTGCCATTTGGCTCTTTTCTTACTGGGGTGCCTGAAGATGCTGCATGGATCCCTCTCCTGTGATCCCTTGAGAAACACTGCTGTGCAGCTGTGCCAGGGAGAAAAGGCAGCTGACTCCCAATGCAGTGAAGAGACAAGGAGAGGGAGCAAGCTAGGAAATGCACTCAGAATTCATTCCACTATTTCGCCCAGGTTACTGGTGTTACCTAAATTGACTGGATCATTTCAGCTTTGTTTCTGAACTGGGCTTCTCCCATTTTTACCCGGCCGGTAAACAACAGGCAGGCTTTTTATCTGTCCTCTTCATGGGCGGGAGGGGAAGTCAGCCTTCTTGAACAAAGGGTAAGTTTGTTCTTAAGCCACTGGCTGAACAAACAAGCATCCCTACCCGGAGTTCAGTTCAGACTTTCACTTGATTAATGGAAGAAAGATTAACTAGAAAATAAACCACTAAAGAACTGCAGGGAAATACCCAAGAACTATAAAGCTAGTGAATCTGGAGATCTGTTTTGGAAAACAAAACATGCTGAACTGAGGGGATGATTGTGAAACAGTTTTACAGGAAGACAAAGTCCATGTACTTGCACACTAGGTTACAGATAGGCAGGCAATGCTTGAACAAAGCCAGAACAGAGAATAATTTGTGGATCCAAAAAGTGAAAGGAGCCCAACGTTTGCTCTGAGGCTTGTATCACTGATGGCTGTGGTCCACAGCATGTGGCAGGAAGACTCTTCTCCTCCTTGGTGTGCTGTTGTCAGCTGAGATCACTGTGTCTCATGTAGAGGGCTCAGCTGTCATGGACTCACCTTAGATAAACTCAGCTGCAGAAAACTCTCTCTCTCTAAGCTAGCTCCAGCAAGGTGCTGCCAGCAATCTGCAGCAGCAGCAGCCCTAAAGAGGATGCTTGCTTTTAAAAAAAGTACTTAGATTAAATATAAATATAAATATAAATATAAATATAAATATAAATATAAATATAAATATAAATATAAATATAAATATAAATATAAAGGTAAATGTAAATGTAAATGTAAATGTAAATGTAAATGTAAATGTAAATAAATATAAATAAATATAAATATAAATATAAATATAAATATAAATATAAATATAAATATAAATATAAATATAAATATAAATATAAATATAAATATAAATATAAATATAAATATAAATATAAATATTAGACTTCAACTCCCATCATGGGGCAGAAGAGTTTATTAGTGTTTCTTATGAGAAAAATGGAAGTGTGGAGTCTCAATTCATGTAGAGGAAAATGTGGTCACTGAAAATGATCTAAAGGGTTTTTTTTAGATTTACCCAAGACAGAAAAGCCTTCTGTCCTGCCAGAAGCTAGATGATGTACACCAATGACTAAAAGTAAATTTAGAATGAAAGCTAAAACTCAGCTGTACCAGAGCCATTTGGTACCAAATGGTACCAAACAATTTATACACTTCCACATGAGACTGGCAGTATGGGTGTTAAAACTGACTCCATCCTACAACTGCCCAAGGTGAGGCTTTCAGGTGCCAGGTACAGAATTCAGAGCCTCCAGGGAAGTGAAAAATGCCTTATTGAATCCTCCTCTTCCCTGGGTTGTTTGGAGAGTTACAAGGACTTCATGACAAACTCAGCAGACCTAAAAGTTTCTGGATAAACAGAGTCTCCACTGCCTATGAGCCATATGCTGATTTACCACTGATAGCCTACGTACCCCTAATCTCAGCCTCAGCTTCAGCACCAGCAGAAAACTGCTGTTGATCTAAATTCTCAGTGGGTGATTTAGTGAGACTTTTCTTCATTTTCTAAAAAATGCTGCAGTTTTTTCTGATAAATGCACTTAAATTTATGGTATCTTAGACTTAATCCTGCTTTATTGTAAATTTGCACATGCTTTTTTCTTTTTCCCCCCCCCAGTGGGATAATAAATTACTTCTAAAAATTTCATTTTAGGACAAAGGGCAACTATACTATGTACTAGACATGAAGAATCTTCTCCCTGCCCCCAAGAAAAAGCCCCCAAAAAAACCCCAGAAAAGGGAATTTGTACAGCTGTATCTTCTATCTGGGACATTAAAACTAGCTGAAACTATGTCTGTTTCTGAGGAAAATAATGATCTTTTTTGACAGTTTTTGTAGACTTGTTTTGATCCAAAACTTTGTAACTTTTAAAATATTTTTTTAAAGAAAAATCAAAGACATTCATATCAGTGCTCAGTGCACACCTTTTTGTGGCAGAGAATGTATAAAGACAGGTCTCATTCCCCCACTTTTTATCCAAAACCCTTTTGCCTGTAGAGTAGGAATAAATACATTCCTTTTAATAAAACTTTTTAAATAGAAAGTCTGAGACTCCTTGAAGGTGTCACTCAGACAAAACCTTTCTATTGCTTGCTGGAGCCATCCAGACAAAATTGAAAGAAGGCTGTGTTTAAAGCATGTGTAAAGCTTTCACTGCCTCTGCTTTACCTGCACTTTAACAATAATCGACTGTCTTGAGGTCAGGAGAGCTGCTTTGATGGTGGATTCTCTTCTACCGTTTTAACTTTAAAAAAACCCTATGCAGCAGCTCTTTTGACTAATGTGAAGATCTTTATCAGTCTTGAACTTTCAAAATAGGAAGATAAGCAAGAAGTGGAATTGTGTAAGGGGAGTCAGGGAGGATTCATTTTGACAGACTTCTTGGATGAAAATAATGCCCAAAAAGCAGCAAATACTATAGCTGAGTTTTTGATAAAGGATATGGTTCTGACCAGAGTGGGATAAGAGACCAGAGAGACAAAAAGAGAGATGGAGAGAGTAACTGCTTTTATCTGCTACGGCTTCTCCCTCAGCTCCATTTCCCGAGCATTTTTTCCTGGGCACCCTTAACACCTGGCACATGTTAGGGCTTTCAGCACATGTACAGTCCCCAGAGTAATTTTTCACTTTGTGTATTACATATGTTAAGGCATAAATAAAAATCAAATCAATCCATCTCAGAAATGCTTTTGGAATCTTGCCTTTACTAACCTTACTCCAAATAAGTGAGAAAAAGGCACAAAGTGCAATCTCTGTGCTGTACAAAAGACACTGTTACTCATCTTGGCTAAATCTGCCTCTCCTCATTGCCACAGCTGCTTGTCCCCAGCGTGGGGGATGCCACATGCAGCATAGCAATAGTGAGAAATAAGCTAACCAGGGGAAAATTCAAAATCAGTGTGCAAATGAGGTGGTGGATGTAGAGGATGACTTGGAGGTGGGGGAGATTCACAGGAAAAGGCTCTTTTTTCCTACTCAGAGTTGTGAAACTTTCGAGTGCCAGAGTCCTGGGGGTGTTGAAGGTACTTTCCCAGCTGTAGGACAGAAATTTCACTCTCACTTTACATCCTTTCCCAGAAATTATGTTCTCCCTCCATCCTGAATCCCCCAGAGCTCCGTGCCCAAAATACCTTTGCACAACTCTTTCCACCCTTAAGGAACAGGAATTTTGTCACCCACTCCCACACAGATGGAACCACACCCCAAGGAACAACCCTTTTCCTGTCACCTTTTGTCCCTTTTTCCTCCACAGAGAAGCAGTAGTCAGAACCTGTGGTTAACAAAAGGGCTGGTATTTTACTAATCAGAGCTCTTGCAGAGACTCAGAGGCATCAGACCCTTGAACTGTTTAATAAAGATTAAGAAATAATTATTGTCTAATGGCCTAATATAGTTTAAAATAAACCCATTAACTGCTGACTTAAAAAACACCCTGGTGTCTTTGTGTGTGGAAGCAGAACACAGTTGTCAGAGGATTTATTTCCTTCATCTACAGAAAGAATAATTAGGACCAACCCTAACCAGAATGATATGTGCTAGAGACACTCGGCAATTGTCTCCTAAAAGATATTCCAGGCAACATGCTTCAAACTAATTAGTACAGAGGCTGTTGTTGTTGACAAGGGACACAAAAAAAACATCCCTATCATGTGAAAAACTGCAAAAGTACAATTTTGGAACTGGTGTTGTGGAAAGGGTTTCACATTCACAAAGGTAGACATGACAGCTGCACATCCTTTCTCTGCTTTAATCAAATATTCCTTGTCAGAACTTCAACAAAATACAAATGAAGCAATCAACCTTCAATGCTTCATGAAAATATCGCATTCCCATAAAATATGCAGAGCCTCTCTTAAGTATGCTTGCTGCTTTAGACAGTATTTCCACTGGTCTGGATCACATTTATTTGGAACTTTTCAAGACAAAGGAGTGACACAAGCTGATTGCAGGGTCTGACCTCCTTAGCATTTTTAGGAGAGATCCTCATTCTTCTTAGGCACCAAGGACAGACCAAGACACAGTTTGTCTGTCAGCACCCAGAAGGAAGGGCTGGATCTTGCTGGGTGCTTCACTCTCCAAATGCTGTTGGTTCAGCGAGCCAGGAATGGTCATCAAGATTTCAATGAGTTAATCTTGAACTGAACCAAGTTGTTGTAGCTGTTGTCTGCTTCCAAGAGAAAGCTGAGTTCATCACTAACTCCCAGAGCATCGGTGGAGCCTATGGGAAGCCGGCAGAGCAGACAAGGTCACACAGCATTCACCTCACCTGGCTTGGAGCTTGCAAGCTGAAAAAAAATCACTGTATTCAACACCACTATCCGGCTGAATACTTCTCTTCCACCAACAGCTGGACTTACATTTTATCCTCAGTGTGGAATCAGGTTTATTTTGGATGCTTATTTTAAAGTCCAATATGTTTTTAGCAATATTATTTCTAGTTACAATTTAGAAATGGCATTTTCTTTCATTTTGATTAATCTGTTAAATAAATATGCAAATATATCGAGTGCTCTATATAAAAATACATACACACAAAAAACAACCCCTCATAATAAAAGCAAGATTAATAAAAGTATGTACTGTATTACACATATGAAATGGCTGTCTAGTTTTGAAACTATAATGAAACAATTACACATAAGTCACAGGACATAATCTAAAAAGAATCAGCATATATAAAATAATGGCATTGCCTCTTGAGCATCTCCCATTTAAAAATATACAAATAACCCAACCAGTGTTGTCTGTGCTTTTATAGCAACTGACTGTAAGATAAATTACGAAGAAGTTTGTGGACTTCTTCATTCAGCATCTGAATGGGGAGATGAATAACATGCCACAGCTTTTTTGGTTTTTTAAAAGAGAAATTTAACCTCCAAGACAATGAAATAAATCCTCACTGAGACTTATATTCATTTAGGATTTAAAGGGAGGAATAATTCTTACTCTGGATCTCCATACTTAGTGGAATGAGTACCTAACACCAGTTTAAACACAGCCTTCAACAGATCATTTTGATTTCTAATGACAAATAGAAAAGCGTGCTTAAAAACATTAAACAAAAATCAATGCACTGTTCACAGATGAAATATCTGACCTACATAAAGTCAGAAAACATCCTATGTGTATTTTAAAACATCACTTTGTCTTGGGACTTTTTGCCCAGGTGTAAATTGCCCTGAGGAGATCTGCCAGCAGATACCAGGGCACTTGAGCATTTCTGTGAAGCACATGGGAAACTGCTGGAGGGCTGTGACTCAGAAATATACTCAGCAGTCTTGTGCTTTATGTTCCAGTAAAGATCAGTGCTAGCTAAAGTCAGCATTTAGCCAGCTGAATATTCATCCTCCAGACTGCCTCAGATGGAGAACATAAAATAACATACTTCAGCAGAACGAAGACAGGGTCTATGGTCAGTGAACAGAGCTCCTGAATATCCCTGCTACAGACCATCCACGTCCCTCAGCTGACACAGAGCAACGTTTTCCCCTGCATTTCCTGGGGGCAGTCCAATTAGAAGTTAAACTTCTCCCTCCATTCCAATAAGCTTTCTTAAAAATGGCACAGACCACTGGTAGTAAATAATTTTTTTCCTGACAATTCATATCAATATAATGCACAGCATCATAGCTTAATACAAATACTTTACATAACAGTCACAAAAGGACATAACAAAAACATGTAACAATGCAGCTCAGCTATTGTACTATATTACATGGCTGGGAAGGGTTTCATTTGCTTTGATCTTTTCTGTAGAAATTGAGCCTCTGATACCAAAAAGCAAGCAATGTTTCTTTTTGGCATTTTTAAAAAGCAGATGGAAAAAAATGTAAATGAACTAGAATTCTGATGAAATGAGCGAGATCATAGAAAAGCAACTTTTAAAATATCAGCAATCTCATATAATAGTTGTAGGGGGAAAAATGGTAATAGGCTCAGCATCTCCTTAATGGAGCAGGAATATGGAGACCTATTTTCAGGAACAAAATACTGTCAGCTTCCCTAGTGATCTCAATTGCTTGATTTGTGCATATGTGATAGAGCTGGGGTCCTTATTTTATCTAACAGGCTCATTAAAAACATGCACAAAATTGGACCAATGAATGAGTGGGGGAGAAAAGCAATGAACAAAAACTGAAGGATAATTGTACAGGTAGCTAGGATAATAAAGAATAGAAGTTTATTATGTTTCAGGTCATATTTTCATGCCTTTATTACCCCTCCCAAGAAGACTTGCTGTATGTCCATAGATATTTAAAAATAGAGATAAATAAATGCTGTCCTTCTAGGTTTCCCTCATTGCAGACCAAGCCACACAATTATAAAATGTTGCTTTTTGTTTATGCTGGCAGAATCTGAATGTACCCACTGCTATTCCTGGCTAGAAGGCATTTCTGAAGGATTCTGATGTTGCAGACATTGTAGAAGATGCCTTTTGGGTTTAAACTTGATTTTTTTTACTCTTGACATTTTTCCTCACTTAATTCTGTACCATGGCATGTTTAATACTTTAAATATCTGTAAGATGGAGTGACTGGATACTTCTTTAGCTCCACACAGTGAAGACCTTCCATCTGGGGAATAATGATGTCAACTTGTATGCCTCCTAGCATCCAGGACACAGTGAAGGGACTTCACTTTGTGAAGGGTCTGGGAGCTGAAAGCATTATCCAGCTCTTGGGGGTGTATTTCAGAAAGCACATGTCAATTTTTAAACTCAGGCGTCATTGCAAAGTGATTAAAAAGAAATAGAACTTATGCTTATGTTCAAAAGACATCAGTAGCACAGTGCATCTGTGAATTCCTGTTCAAGTTCTGCGTGACTTTGGTTTCCCCAGCCCTGATCTGCTTGGCAGTGGTACCATTACACTCCAGTCTTCATGTCAAACTCGTGATGGTTTTGTGTTTCATTAACAGTCAGGAATTCATCACATGCTTGTGTTCGGTCATTTGACTGTTCTTTATGAACCAAGTGCACCATTTCTTGTGATTTGCTGATATCTCCATTTAATTCACTTGTCTTCCTGTCCTCCACTGCCCCTTTGCCATTGTTAATCACTAGCTTTTTCTTCTGTCCACATCTAGAAAGAAATAAAAATAATGTATTATAAATAGAGTCTAACAAAAATAAAAACCTGAAGGCCAATATTTAGGAAAAGGTGATTGAAAATTAAACTTGTGTCTGCCAGTGCAGACTTATACCATAAAAAGTACAAAGTTTCTCCATATCACATATTTTATTTTTGAAAGCATCCACCATTATATGCATAAAATTTATCAGGAGCTCACTTATCTAATTTATATTTACTGATACTACATACAGCAATAATATTCATTATTGAATGACAGGAATTTTTTCCTATCATTTGAATATAACCACATTTATGAACTTTGCAAATTACTCCCACTACGAGGACATCTTCTAAATCCAGGCTTGGGACCACAGCTTTGAAAATGCACAAATTCTTATGCAAGCAGACAATCTGGATGAAGCTCTCACCTCATTAAACAAAACAACTGTTTTTTATTTTGTATTAGCATGTGAAGCTTAGAAGCCAGCCAACAGTAAGGGAGTATGGAGAACTGTCTGCAGCAGAGCTGCTTGGGATGTTGAGGTAGGAAATAGGTTCTGTGCTTTTAAAGTTACACTTGCTGCAGAGCTGCCCAATAAACTTTAGATACAGCTCTGAATTAAAACACACTTGCACACACAATCTTTTAAAGAGTCACCAGTCCAAAGATGATGCACACTGGTTATTGTGGGCTGGGTATCCTTCAGTGTAGTAAAAAAATACTACTTGCACAGCTGTCAGATTTACTGTTTACAGGACTCTGGCTACACTGTGCTGGACATTCTACTTGTCCTCAAGCAGCCTTGTCTAAACTGAATATGCAGAGCCCAACATGCCTAAGAGGGACAATGTGTCTGTGAATATGGACTTTTAAGTGCTTTATTCTTAAATGAAGCATATTTTTTCCTGAATGACTAATTTGGCCATTCAGTTTTACTGTTATGCCTCTGAAATACCATTTTTTCATGCCTTCTGACTCATAGATGAGGGTTATTTTATCTGAAGTAGTTCAGTTCACTCTGTTAATGTTACACACGCCCCTGGGAATGATTTCCTGCTCTGCAGCCATAAAATGCCAAAAGAGCTGTGGAGCTCCACAGCCTCTTAAAAGAGCAGCTCTGCAACCAACAGACTAGGAAAAAATGTGCTCACTGCTTCCTGAACAAACATCACATATTATATGGTCATTCTGATAAAAAAAGAGATAAAAATCCAACATTCAAGTAGCAAATAGTTACTCTGTTAAAAAGCTCAATTTTAACATTCAACAAGCAAAAAGCTGTTGAAGATAATTGGAAAGTCATCTCAGAACAGCCCCCAGAGAAAAGAAAGAGGTAAGAATATTTTAGTCTATCCTTTAGGCTAGGGTATTTCCAATTTCCCAGCTAGCTTTGCACAGATCACTGCATTACCTTTCACTCCTCAGCATCCTCATCTGTAAAACGGGGTACACAAAGCTATTGAGAGCTCTGAGAGCGATGCTAGCACGTATGCTTGTGACTGCCAGCTGTGATACTGCCTCTTGTTTGGAAGGAGCACACTAACAGGTTTTCACAGAATCGCTGTGGTTGTCTAAGACAGCCCTTCACACTGCACACAGACAATGCTTTAATGGTGGAGGATTATTCTTGGATCATCCTGTGCTTGTTGCTGTCTATGTTCATGTGACAACTTCCACCCTCTGCGAACACGATTTTCCCATTAGTAACTAACAGGTAGAGGGTAATTAATTTTCTGTGATCTGCATACAGTTAGTTTCCATTTACAAGACCAAATAGTTCATGTAGGTGCTGACTTCATGTGAGTGGTCCCAGGTGAGTGTGAAGGCTGATGTGTGACCTGTGCAGGACATGGTGACCTGGGTTCCCACACCCCAAGCCACTCCAAGCTTCGAAGGGGATGTGTTTTGCTGCACTGCTCTTTGACAAAGCTTTGGAGACTCCCAAGGAAGACAACAGTAAGGCAGTGTGTTTAGGAAATGTGAAGGTGTGGCCTTACCTCCTGCGACTGTTAACAGCAATGCACACTGCAAGGATCAATGCGAGCACCACGAGAGCTGCGACGATGATCAGCCAGTCTGCAGGGACAGAGCGGGGAGGGAAGGGGAGCATGTGAATGCATCTCATGTGGTCCTGCCAATTCACAGAACTGCAAAAACACAATCTCTTCTGCTTGCTTTAAGCTGTCACACTCTTTTCCTACGTTCTATGAACGTTTGGTTAACAAAGTCTTTCTCTGCAAATCAAACACATTTTCATCATCCTGCTGAGATTAAACACCCCATCACTGTTGTCACCTGGAAGCACTTTGGTGGGCACAGGTGAAGAGGAGCTGTTTCACTGATTAACTCCAACAGAAAAAAAAAGGCTTAGCATGACACACCTACAATCCCAGGCACAAAAGCAGGATGACTTTTAGCATATTTTTAGTTAAGTAGGTCTTACAACCTTCCCAGAAGCCTACCATTATAGCTCTGGTACCATTACGGACGGGGGTTCTCTCTCAAGAACCACGTCCTGTATCTTTGTTTGAAACGTCTGTCCCTCGTTTAACTCGTACATTTCATTTGAAACAAATGACCTCTTCTAATTAGTTTAATTATTAGTACTCCATGGTGAAAAACTGACAGGCATTCCTTTCGTAGCATGCTCCTCTTATATCTCCTTCAGTTTTCCCTGCAAATGATGAGCTCTTCAAAAGGTGCTTCAAAGATTACCTTTCCAAAATTTTCTGTGTGCACTTCTCCGTTTTTTTCCCTTGAACTTCCCTTTCCCTTTTGCCTTGAACTGAACAGTTTCAGCCCTGGACTTGCTAGGCCTAAGTAGAGTGAGATAATTACTTTCTCTGTTTTAAAAATTACTTTACCACTAATAAGCCCCAGAATATATTTGCATTCTTTTGCAGCTGTATCATGGTGTTGGCTTCTTTATATTCTGTTTTAGTCTGCAAGCTCTATTCTGGAGAGCTTGTCTCAGCTGTTATTTTTGCTGAACTTTCTCATGGATATGATACTATGCATATAACTTTATTGAGTTTTGCCTGGTTTAATTTCAATTTCTAAAAGTTAATTGAATCTTAATCCCGTTCTCCAAATGTATGGTTTCTCACATCTTAGTATTGCTGAAAAATTATATGAGTTACAATATGCTCTGTTTCTCAGGATACTTGTGAAATGCTGAATATTTTATGATTCAGAGCAAAGTCTGAACAACTGTATTTGACCTTCACTTACTTCAGTTCATATGAAGACAATTCTGTACTTGTATTTTTAAAACATCTGACTTCAAAAACGCACCTGGTACAGGGGCCGACCTTGGTTGTGAAGCTATTTTTGTTGTGGTGTTCTCTCCAGGGGAAGTAGTGGATTCATAATCTCCCTTGTGTGGTCCTTGGTTACCATACACACTTGAGGTAGAGCCTAAAGAACAAAAAAACCCATCTATCAGGCCAAATATGCTTGATGAATATTTAACAGCAAGGTAGGAAGACTGTGAATTTAGCAATGTAAAAATCAAACTCTAGAAAGTCCATGCTGAAGCAATTAACAAGTGTTTATACTGAAAACTATCACATAGACTATAAGCATGACACTCATCTGAGCTATGGCTAGCTTTAGTATTTTGAGAAGCAAAATTCATGGCTTTCCCCTCTTCTCTCCCTCATATGTTTCAATTCTGTTCCGACACAGGATAAAACTGCACACCTAAAACTCTAATTCTGTCATAAAATAGAACAATAGTTCTCTCTGAATGTTGTGGCTTTGACAGCTATAGAATGGGACTCTAAAAATTGGATTTTTTTTTTTTCTAATAGAAAAAAGTGTTCTCTGCAAACTCAGATGTGGATCCTCTTGTCCTTTTTAATAAGTTGTGTAATTTGGTTCCAAGATCATATCAGATCTTAAATCAGTCTATTTTCTGTGCTGGCCATACTGCTGAAACTTTTATGCAATTACGTTCCTGGCCCATGCTATTACCATAAGGATATCCCAAGTCTCAATTTATCAGAAGACTATAGATACAATAATTTCATTTGGGATGATGGCTTTATTATCACTACAAAAAATGTGCTACAGATCTCCACCTCTCTGAATTCTTCCAGACTCTAATTAATTAAACACTAACTCTAATCAGCTGTAAAGTTCTTTTTCTTTAACACACATTACAACTAATTTCTGTCCAGCATTTCTGATCTCATTTCCTAGTAACAGCTGGCAAATGCAAAACTGAGAAGCAAGTTTTATTCCCTCTGTGAAGCACAGCCAGCAAGCAGTTCATTAATTTTCCAGATGTCTTATTGTTTTTATTAACAAAAAACTTGTTGACTGGTGTGTTGTTTGGTGCTGTCTCACAACACAGGACAGAGCACGAATTCAACAATGAAGAGTCTTGATCTAGCACCAAAGAAAGCTGACCAAGAGGGACTTACTAACTTGTCTACACCACATTGCAGCAGGTTTTTTTAAGTGCTTTAAAAGTATTTTTTTAAGTGCTTTTCCTGTATTATCTTTGAAAAATGCCACTTTTCCTCCACAAAACTCCTCAGAAAGGCATTCAGACACTTATTAAAATTTGGGTGCTTAGAAACCTGCTATATTTGCTGCTCTCCTGAGCACTGGGAAGAAGTAGGGGTCAGCCACGTTCCCTGATGTTCTGGCTCTTGGGAGGTGCTTGCAAGTGTCAGGGAGGGATCCTCAAAAGCTCTCTACATTTAATTTTGGTGACATACTAGATTTTTTTTCTTTATGGACTGTTATTTTTTATGTTCCTTCAGTGGACTGACTTGTTGTTCTGTGGACACTTGGACACTAAGTGTAATGTCTGAACACAGCTTTTTTACTGCTGTAAAAAAAACAAAGAACAAGTGAAAAGAAGTGGTACATCAAACTACTCAACTGATCAGAGAAGGCCTTTAACAATACATTCATGAATCTTTTCCATTCCATTTCACCTATATTAGGCAACAATACAAATGAAAGAACCCTTCAATAAATAAGCCTTTTGATGACAATGGTAGTGTCTTAGTAATTCCCATATACTGTGTTCTTAAAGTGCACCAAGAGATAGTTAATGAAAAATTAAAGAGTTTTGAGAAAATGGTCTTCTGAGCCTTTTGCCAGAGTACTGACAATGCAAAGACTCAGTGCAGATATTCCCACTGAAAAAGATTCAAACCAGTTCTTACAGGTTTTACGTGCTCAAAACTGAAAGGTAGTGAACATTTTTTCATAGTGTGTCATGTCTGCACATAAAATTAAGAAGGCAGCTTAGATTAATTAAGTGAATAGGACCTGTGAAATGAAAGAAGTGGGTTTTAGTAGGAAGACATTATTAAAAACAGATTTAGCTTCCCAATAAAATTCTGACAAATGCATATTTTGCATTTATAATGCTATGCCTATGTCAAAATGCTATAACCAGGAAATTTTGTTAGAGTTGAATTTACTGGTTTAAACAAAATTTTTGAAAGAATAATTAGCCCAAGTTCTACCTCGCAATACATTAATTTATATTAATGAATTATTAAGGGAATTAGCTTTCAAGTGTTCTCTATGGAATACTGTAAAAATACAGGTACTTGATCTTACAATGAATATCCACAGAGCATTGGCAAAATTCTACTCTGGAATGGTTCCATTAACTTCCAAGAAAGTGCATGAAAATAGTGTTTGGATTAGCTGAATTGGGAAAAAAAACCCCTTACTGTTAGGATGGTTATTTGTATGGAAACTACATTTGGGAATAAGGAAAAGTCCCTTCATTTCCTGTACTATTAGCACGTGACTACACATAAAAAAATACCAAAGGCTATATGTAATGTAATAAGCAAACACTGTTAACTGCACTAAATTCATCAGAAGAATAACCCTTTGGAAAAGCAAGGCTGTTCACAAATGAAATGTCAGTTACAGCCCAGTAACAGCTACAATTAATCCCTGGAAAGACACCAACAGCACATGTAGCTAGGTGTCATAGAGAATTACCTTTCTTCTGTAGGTATTCAGATAATGTAGAGGGGTTACAGGTGGGGAAAAAGTGACAGATAGTTAAGGGTTACATTGCTGTCATTTCCACCCAGCAAAAACAGAAAGACAAAATGCTACCACAAATGTATGGGCATGAGCAGAAAGTTTGCACTTCTTCATTTCAGTGGTAGTGTTACCACATGCTGATGGCAGAATACAAGGAAAGCTTATTTGCAAAATGCTATTTTTGGCCTTTTAGCTAATGCTTTTACCAGAAAGAGATACCATTTGTGACATCTTATCAGCAGGTTAAAACCAGTAACAGAAGCCAAAAAGGAAATCATAATATGACAACCATTTACAATTATGCTTAGCACACATTTTTAGACAATATGCATTGTCCACAATAACAACTCACTGATGGATAAATGAAAATGGTTATAATTCATTGTTCTTACTGGTAGTAAGAGGAGTCTGCATGGGAATAAAACGGTCCTCAATGTCTGAAAAAACTCCAGGTATCCCATGGACATGGACATGGGAACCATCTGTGGTGTTTGCTGGTTCACCTTCCCCTCCAGGTGCAGTGCCAGGTGCCAGTGGCTCCTTGGTTGCTTTCTCTTGGTCAGCATCATCCAGGAACTCTATGACTGTCATGATGGTGGCATGATCAGGGAGCACTCACAAAAACCACCACCCACGTCATTTCCTGGGCCACAGCAAGCCAGAAAGCACCTTCACCTTCCTCATGCAAAGCACAGAAGGAGGAAAGAAGACATGAAGGCCTCTCCTTCTTCTTCCACACTGTCACTGGCTTCTGAGAGACCCTTAAGCTCCACATCTACGCTCAGCACGTTGGAGCAAGATGCTGGTGACATATACAGATCCCAGTGACAGATGGAAAGGGGAGACCTTTAGAAGAAGAGACTTTAGAAGCAACAACCTGACCCTGTAACTCAGGAGTGAGCGGCTTCACCTCTGTTGGTCTTGCCTGGCAATACACAGGAGAAGAGAAGAAAAAAACTGATGGCAGAATTTAAGGGATGTAAATCTTCTGTGAATGCCCTGCCCTCACCACTGGGACACCACTCCCCAGTGATGGTGCTGCTGCTGAATCACAGGACAAGTCATCTGATTAATCTGCCAGAGCACCTCCACCACTCCAGTCATGGTGCCAAAGCATATCCAGTCTGATCACACTGATGCACAAGAAAGGAAGATGAGGCTTCAGAAACACCTAAGTGCAGAACTTTTAGGAGATCACCCAAAAACATGCTTCAGCAAAGGACAGAAACCACCAAGTGCACCAGCAAGGAGTCCCTTATGCCTTGTTCATAGATCCCATGACAGATTTTTCACTGCAAGTCCAGTGAAGAATGAAGATCCCCAGGATGAGAAAGATACTGAAAAGAGTCATCTTCAGCAGAGATAATGCCTCATTTCACACCAGACATGAGAAATGAGTATGATCCATTATTCCTACTGGTACCCATCAGAATCATTACCAGTTTTGGTCACACTGGTTGTGGTCCTGTGGAGGATTTCATCTCTGGGCGTATCCATGGGATTTGTGATGCCTTCAGTGCCCTGTCCCAGTTCATCATCTGAAGGCAGAGGTGTTTGGGTTGGCTCTTTGTGGTGGGCACCATCAGGAGAGGAAGCAGCTGTTACCACAAGGTGAGGTGCCCATCCTTCCTGGGTTATATCTTCTGGTGCCAGAATGTCAGTGGAGGCTGTGACTGTTGTGATGATGGCTAAGTTAACTTCAAAAACATTTTTAAAATGTTCCTTACATATTAGTCCCTATTTATTTTAGTTATCTCTACCTTTTTATTTATCAGTCTATATAGATTTTGAAGCAAGAAGAAAAAAACAAAAACAAACAAACAAACAAACAAAAAGCAAAGGCGCAAACAAAAAATATTCTCTGCATATCACACACTCTTTTTAGGTTGTCTCTTCCTTCACTAATATGCACAATGCAGCCTAAAATATGGATTTTGAAAATATCTAGTGAACACTGTTTAGAAGAGAGAAAACAGCAATATTATTTTCAGAATGAACATAAGAATTCCTGTTGTTATACAAGAATTAGATTGACTTAGTTTAAAACATTTGAAAAAAGTGCAAAATCATACTTGAGTATGATTTACAACTGACCTGTCAAACCTCATAACACTTGAAAACAGTGAACTGGAAAACTTTACAGAATCTCATTCATATTTAGAAAACATGGTTAGATGATAGAGAACACAACTGTATTTTAATCCAAAAACTGATTTCTAATCCACACCATTTGTGGTTTTCAAAGCTCTCTGTGAAATCCTAAATGTTGAGGATTAAATAAACCAGATAAAAATGCATTTTGAGGAAGAAAAACAGAAGGATAACTGCTAATTTTTCCTTAGAATTTCTTTTTCAGAAAATACAGGAAGAAAATATGCAAGAAGTTCCAAACAACTACAGTGTGATAAAAAACATCTTACTGTATTAAATAAAAAAGCAGTATTTTGAATGAGGGCAGTTTTAAATGGATAACATGCAGAATTTGGGATTTTAAGTTAGAACCTTGCAGAACTACATGAACAAACTCCAATAAATTATTTCAGATTTTAGAGTATTAAAAGACTATGTTGAAATATTAAGACCAGGAATGACCAGACATGAAAAACAAACATTACCAGCCACCTCCAAAAAGAAACTGCTTTCTCAGTTAAAAATACACACTGAGTAAAGTCAGGGGACATAAGAAACAGGGCACACAGGAAAAAAAAAATATCCTGAAACAGACAGGAATTCTTGTTGGGATATTCACATGCAACAAAACCATAAAAAACATTTGCACTGCAATTTCACAACAAGAATGCACACTTTGATGATGAAAAAGACAGAGAGAGAAGTCAGTTTCAGGAGAAATAATGTCTCATTTCACACCAGACATGAGAAATGAGTATAATCCATTATTTTTACTGGTACCCATCGGAGGAGAGTTATTACCAGTTTTGATCATAGTGGCTGTGGTCCTGTGGAGAACTTCATCCCCCGGGGCATCTGTGGGATTCGTGATGCCTTCAGTGCTCATTTCTGATTCATTATCCCAAGGCAGATGTGGTTGAGTTGGCTCTTTGTGGTGGGCACCATCAGGAGAGGCAACAGCTGTTATGATGGTTTAATAGATGATTTAAACACAGATTATTTAACAGCTGTGAATTCCATGTGTGTGCTGCTGTGGCCTTCCCATTACCATCCCATCCAAGCCTCCTGTTTCCCCTCAAAGCACTGTTACCCTTTCCTCTCCACAAAAAGGGCAGAGAAGTGAGACCTTGTGTCCTGTGTATCATCACTGCTCTCTCACAGTTCTGGTAAGACATATCCATTTGCTATTCTCATCCACTTTTTTACTTAATTAAAAAGATTCCCAAGGGCAGTGGAGAGAGGCAGCAGTCAGAAGGATTCCCTGACCTGCATCCCAGGCTACCTACAGAGTCTCAGCTTCCTTGGCACTGTCACTTGCTGTTACAGTGTGTTTCACATTATGGGTATCAATATTGACAGTCAAGAAGACCCAAAGGCCTCTGCTCCTTCCTCCACACTGTCACTGGCTTCTGAGGGACCCTTAAGCTCCACATTTAAGCTCAGCACTTTGGAGCGAGATGTTGGCAACACACACAGATTCCAGTGGCAGATGGAGAAGGGAGACCTCCAGAAGATCATACCATGTTTTCAGAACATTATTTTGGTGTTATGAATACTGCATTATGTGAGACTGCATCATGATGTTGTGTCACGCCAGTTTTACAGATTCCTGCCTCTCATCATTCTATGAATGAAACAGAGGGATAATTATTTCAATAAAGTCTAAGAAAAGAACACTCTTTTGCCAGGTGAATATTCACAAGTTAAATGGATTAGCTTCTTGAGGTACAAATATACATAAGTATAGATTCAACTTTATCATAAAGACGGTCTGGTAGCACCAAACAATATAACTTATATAATGAGCTGGATGCAATTTCACAGCCATGCTTTACTAAGGAATGAAAAGCCCTATAAATAGTGTTGGCAAATAAAAAACAAATGTTTTACATGGAACTAAAATTGAAATCTTCTGTTTCACCACCATCCAGACAGAGAGTAGAGAAAATTAATCACTCTACAGCTTATGTCATTATTTTAAGAAATCACTGATTACTCCTGTCCACAAGTTCATGCAAGATCTTTCCAGGAGAGGCCATCTGAGAGACAGAAGTGATGCAACATACATAAAGACATTATTACTAGTACCTGTAGTGGAAGACTCTCTTTCATGATAGTTCTCTCTGGAAGGAGTGACTCTCTCCGTCACAGCAGGCTGTGTGGCATAATCCTCTCCCTCATCCCAGCCTGGGTACACCAATGGGTCTTGTGCTGAGTCGTTCTGTTTGGCCCCATGGCTGGGGACCATAGCTGTTATGATGATGGTGAAGCAATTATGAACTCAGTATGTAAAGATCCATTTCTCACATTATTCTCCTCTTCAGTTCTTGTCTCTATGACAGGCCTTGCTCACATGTCTACTACATTTAATGGCAAAGAGAAGTAAAGTAGATTTGCTTCTCATCCTGGTTTATATTTAGAACAGCTGCCTACTATCATCAGTGGGACCAATTCCTTCCTCAAACTGAGCATATGCTTTCCAGAATCGTGGTGTCTTACTGTTCTTCTGAAGTATTTCTCTGAATCTTGCTGTCAACTTTGTATTGTTGAATAGCACACCAAAATTCACTGGTGCAGAATTAAAAGACTCAAAGACATAAATAACTGCAAGGACATGACCCATCAGTAAGATTTTAATCACATAATTTGAGTGTGTTGACTATATCCAATTCTTTCCCCTCAAAATTTCACTGTTTCATTAGTTGCAATATCTCCAGGGAAACGCACAAGGAAGTGTAACAAAGGGGAGTGCTCGGTCATGCTACAGATTTGTGAATGGTGCACACCATGACTAAGACAGCATTCAGCTGGAGAAATTTTGATATTGTAGTTATTTAGAAAAACACTATCCATATCAACCAACCTGTATTTATTAGAGAATCACAGCAAAAGAGTACCCAAATCTCGTAAAAAACATAAAACTTCTTAACGCCTTCAACCCAATAAAAACCCCAAGAAATTTGCCACAGTGTATTATAATTTTAATTGCAATTAAGCCATTATGTACTGCTATAGTAGTATAGTGTAAAAGGTTATCAGAGACCTGTACTTGATAATCCACAAGAGCAGATGACAACTTTGGTGCATTCACTGTTGGCAGTGCTTAGTACAGCACATCTGTCATTAATTCCTAAGCTTGGTACACTGACAGGAACAGAAATTAAAATATATCAATTTCAGTTACCACCTTTACAGTATAATTTGATCTTTTGTTTCAATTGATTCAACCAATGAAAGAGAGAAGCCTCACTATTATTCTATGTTATTCTTTGTTTTCTCCCCTTCATCACCAGTATCCTCTTGCCAGAGTTCAAAAGTGGGATGAGTAGACATTTTTGATAATTTTTTTTGGATATAACTGCCATTAAAAATACTGGAAAAAAAATATCCCTGGTCCAGTAATGGCTTGCAACAGGGCAGTAAACAGAGTTCCCAAAGGAGTGAAAAATGCAGCACACATTATTATTTTTCCATTTAAACCTTCTCTGTTTCCTACAGACAAAGCCCTGGTAGATAGCTTGTTGAAAGCTTGTGACTGCATGACAAACAACAAAACAGGAGACATTTACAGAATTAACCTACTAAAGATTTTGACATTCAAGACAAACAGAAGAGAAACATCCAGGAACAAGTCTGAAGAATAGACTAATCTAAAAAAAAAATATATATAACATAGAAATTGCTCAGGTTTATTTACAGGACCCGTGTTACGGCCTCAGAATGCAAAAATGTTAGTAAAAAATCCTAAAACTAAACCTTTAGAAAACCCTGAAGGTTTACTAAAATGTGACCTGTAATATTACCTGTAGAAGTGTCCTTTCCAAAATAATTGTCACCTGCAGTAGTAAATTCATGTTGTTCAATACTGCCAGTGGTATTTTCAGGATTTTGTTCTTGCCTGATCCCTCCAGAATGAATGCTGTGTAATAGTGGATGTTGGGTTGGTCCTTGATGTTTTTCAGTTGTAACTGGTACTGGTAAGATGATGATTGAATCAATAATGATCAAAATACTCAACATCAGTCATATTATCCTTATCATCATGGTCTACATAACAAGGATGTTTGGCTTTTGAATTTTGGATTTTTCTTCTTCTTGTTGCATTTCATGTGAAATGAAAGATGAAAGAAAACAAAAGTCCCTTTGGAAACCTAATCACCCAAAAGCATCACCAGGAGAAGCAGCAGATTTAAGTACACTAGAAAGGATCCAAATGCCAGTCGAAGATAAAAGATACCCAAGAAGCAGAAGAGCTCATAGAAACAACAGCTTGCATCTCTAATTAATATTTATTAATACTAACTTAACTGTTGAGTTTGTGTAATCTGGTTTTTTTTAAATAAAACACTGATGAACTTTCTCTTCTGAGTTATCTCAACTGCACAAAGCAAAGGAAATTGCAATTCCTTCTGATATTGGATGAATTAAATAAGTAGATAAGCATACTTATTTTGAACTCAATTATAATTAAGCTCTTAAGTTAATTAAAGTTAATTCATTGCTTACTCTTTAACTTGCTGTTGTTTACACAGCAAAAGATGCAGTCAGAAATCAGCTGAAGTACCACCACCATAAGAGATGTTCTAATGGAGGTTTAGAAAAGATACATCAATGAACCTAAGATGAGCAGAAGAACTCAGCTGGAAATATATTTGCCTTAAGTATCAAACATTTCCATGAATGGCATATAAAAGTAAAGCTAAGGTCCTTAATCAGAGCATGCAAAGAATGAGCTGGATGTGTTATATATGTCATAAGTCACCTGACAGAAACTATGCTGTTCCCCAAGAAGAGAGAAACTGGAGGAATATTTTTCTTCATATTCAGGCATTGAAATATTTGTAAAGAAAGAGAGCACTCATGCAAATGCAATTAATTATTTCTAAATTAAACCTAATACATATATATTATTTTACAAAAAAAAAGAGGTAATATTAATCAGTGTATGAATACAACTGATCTAACAATACTTCACCACTAAAAGAAAGTTATCACAACAAACATTTCTGTGTGATTATGGAACCTGTTCTAAGGCCAACTGTATAAACTTCTGCTGTTCAAAACAATCTCAGAACCAGAAAGAACCAGAAAAATAGCTTGAGAATGCACTCTATAAACTTTTGCCTACAGAAGATTTTAGAATTGAATGTTTTGGTATCTCAGTTGGCTACTGACACTAACACTGATAGCAAAATATTCACGTTCATCTGGAGATAGCATATTATCCTTTGTAGGACAATTCATGTATTTGAAACAATAGCTCCCTTTTTTGTCTTTCGTCTTCAGATTTTACAATAGAAATTTTGAAGTGGGAAAAAAGGGTGACTCACCAAGGTCACCAAGGTGGGTCACCAAAACCTACAGTCTTCTCAGTTTTACTGCACACTACTGGCATTGCAAATTTTAAAATACCAGAGACGTGAGGAAAAGTGGCAAGAAATAAACATTAGATGCGTAAGATAGACTTGGAGTGACAGATGAATGTTACAGATGCCACCTTTTGAGGGCTCTTGTGCAAATAATGTAAAGGTATTACACTAGACTGAGGCTAATGGTATGGGAATTACAAACATCTGCACCCCGAGTGTCATACTTTACTGAAGTATATCAGAAATCTGAGTATTATCTGAAATGCTTGATTGCTTTACCCCTGCTAGCAGAGCTAGGATACTGCTCCTCTTCATCAGTAAAGGTGGGGTTCCAGTGGTCTTGCGTGGTGATTTCCAGAAGTGTTTCGTGTTGTGAGTCCACAGCTGTTGGGGTAATGGAGGATTCAGTGCTGACTATGCTCTAAACCTACCATCTGTGTGCTCCATAAAGGTGATGGAAAATGGAAGTTCTTGCACAGCCTATTTACTCTTCTTATCAAATCCCTTCACATCAAGCCAGTTCTTTTCTTTACATTCGACAGATGCAAAGTTTCCCAAGAAAAACGGGAAAAACAAGCAGCAGAAGAATAATGTACAGTAGAAGTAATGCAAAACCATTAGAGCAGCTGTAGAAATTTAAACTCACGTTTTAAGAATTATTCTAGACCTAAGGAATATGGCAGATACCTCAATACACCTAAAACATGCTTGCTAAGTACTGAAGAAGTACTCAAGAAATGCCATGCTAGAATATCCACGACTGAGCAAAAAAGCGATGGTCAGCAAAAAATGAGATCACCTTGACAACCACCAGGAAGCCAGTATTAGTCAAGAAAGTTATAACTGAAAAGATAAAACAGAACTTCTACAGTAGTCTATGACCAGAGACTGAAAACACTTTCACCCATGGATCATGCAGACACCACGAGGCCATCAAAGGTATGGAATGCAGTACACACCTGTGGGACAGGTTACCAATGCAGAGTCTCAAAGGCAAATAAACACCAAAACTATCCAAAGCATAGGAAGAAAAGCAAAAAGTCCCAAAGCAAGATGAATTCCTGGTTTTGCATTTTCTACTAAAAAGGGAAACCACTGTTGAAAAACTGCAAATACTGCACTAGCTTAAAAATAATAAAAGGCTTCTGCACAGTGACTACTGAGTAAATAAGAGCACGGACAACAGACATATTAAGATGTACTTAAATTAAATAAAATTGCAGGAACAGAACAGATTAATGTCTTTCTACAAATAAGAGCATTAGAGTTTAGTCATTGACAGCAACATCTATGCTAAAAACCCCCCAGGGCTGGGGCCGTTCCCTGGTCATAAAGCCAAGCAGCAGTTTGTGTACTTCAGGGACAACCTGCATTTAGCTTTGACCTTCATATGTGGTGTTTTTCTTGTTTCCAGACAAAATTATTTCAACTATGGATGGCTTCTGAATTAAAAAAGAGTTCTCACATGATCACTGTGGGACTATTCATATCAGGAAAATGAGGCTATGTATTAAAATATCTCAATTTTAATACTGGATGATGCCTAGACATCTGAGGTCACAAAAATAAATGAAATGACGTTAGAAGATTGCATGTGAAGTGTGCAGAAGGTAGCAAACAGGAGACTGTTTTGTTGACAGTTCCAAATGAAAAAGGGATTAGGGGTTTGGCCTTTCCAAATTGTGCCAGAACATCTTCCACAGACAGGAAGTCTGTTATTGAATAGCTGTAAGTTATATAAAACATGAAGTAGAATTATTTTAACACTTAAAATAAATTAAGAGAATGAAAAATAAACTTTTTTGTCTTGGAAAATCATGACTAAATAGAAACATTTGAATTAACACAAAACTGAGATGCTAATTTTAAGTAGCAAAAGAAGAGAAAGAATTTTTTTAATTATATGGACCTGAGACAATTTTCCAGTCACGAAAGAGGTACTTCTGAAGGGGACAGCTGATGAGAATATCATCCAATTTTCAAACAATATATGCACAGCTAAGGAGGAGGAGGTTACCTACCTGTCCAGGTAGGACAGGAAAATTAAGAAAGAAACCAACCAAAGACAACAGAAGTTCCTTACTCGTACTCAGAGCAGTCTCGTCCTTGGCCACACTCCTGCCCCAGCCTGGAAACACTGTGGGGTACATCATCTCCTCAGAAGAGTCTTCATCATCTGAATCACTGCCACTGGAGGTCACATCTGCTGTGATGATGTTAAATCTGCCATGAAGCCCTAACCCACAAGGCCTTCTGCAGGCAGCAGTTCAGCTTTCCTGCCTCCCCTACTCGCAGCCTTGCAGTCAGAGGAGAATTTACAGCCCCGTGCTTCCCAGGGGCTGTAGCTGCTCCTGCCTTTTCTCTCACAAGGGGCTCACCACTCTGCCACAACCCTGCTGGAGCTGCCCCACTAGGGCTCTTAGGTACATGAACAGCAGTGACAAATGCCACACATTCACCCCACCTCCACTTAGAATCTGTGGACCTTGCTGCCCTGACCTCTGGTAATTCAGCCCTTAATCAAAGCAGTCTCTTAGCATGACATTCTTTACCCTTGGTTGCTGGCGTGGGTTCTTGTGTCTTCTCTCCGGGATTCGACCACCACCAGTGGTCTGAGAACGGATTCCACCAAGCTTGCGTGGTGGTTTCCTCCAGGTTGTCAGGATGAGGCCCTGGAGCTGTTAGGACATGGCTCTTTTAACCAAGATCTTGTGATTATTTCTTGAAAAGCAAGAATTTTCCTCCAGCAAAGTCAAGTCCACCAGCACCAGCACCTTGAGCACGCTCATGCCAGAGATGGATGTCAGAGCAGGGCGAATGCATGAACCCATGGGGTCATGACATTCCTGCAACACGTAGCCAGATGCAAGCGCTTTTAGCAGTCCCAGGAAAGAACAGGCTCCCTTGAGAACAGCCCTCAGAAAGCCCTGTGGGGTTTTAAACCCCTCCACGTTCTAGAAGGTTAATGAGTTCCTCACAGGCCCTGACAGTGGGAGAGTAGATAGTCTTTGAAACAGAGTCCAGAATGAGGAACATCCACCAAGATGACATAAAATCACATACAAAAGATGTAAGAAGTATCCATAATAGGCAAAATGGATACCCAGAGACAAGCACACCCAGAGAAGCAAACTGGTCTTCTACTGACAACCCCATGAAGCCAATGCTGCCAAGGACCTGGACTCAGAACTGAGGCAATTCCTCTGAACACACACATGCACTCCCCTTGACCTGATGCTGTCAGCTGAATGCACACCAGAAATACCTTTCAGAGTAGGCATGAGTACAGCATGGAGAGAGAGGAGTAGCTTAACCTGTATCTCGTTACCAATGCACAGCCTTTTCTCAAAACACAGCATATCAAATAGCAGGATACATAGATTTATGCCAGGCATTTACAGATGGAAAGAGATTTCAGCTAAGGTAAAAATTATAGGAATCTACAGCCTTTTCATCCACCATGCTAGGCAAGCCAACTAGTTGTTGGCAGGCAAAGAGAAACAGTCATGCCACTGGTAGGAGGTTGGAAATCCCCTCCAAAGATAAATCAGTCCTTGAGCCCCAAGAAGTCACAAGGAAAGTCCACAAATCAAATGAGAATGAAGACCACAATTCAAGAATCAGCAGAGTGTGGTGCTTTTAGCTATATGGAGCCCACACAATATAAATAGGTCTTTTTTGTGGTGTGGGAGATATGTTTGAAAAAGAGCTAAGATCACCCATCCAATTTTCAAACAATATATGCACAGCTAAGGAGGAGGAGGTTACCTACCTGTCCAGGTAGGACAGGAAAATTAAGAAAGAAACCAACCAAAGACAACAGGAGTTCCTTACTCGTACTCAGAGCAGTCTCGTCCTTGGCCACACTCCTGCCCCAGCCTGGAAACACTGTGGGGTACATCATCTCCTCAGAAGAGTCTTCATCATCTGAATCACTGCCACTGGAGGTCACATCTGCTGTGATGATGTTAAATCTGCCATGAAGCCCTAACCCACAAGGCCTTCTGCAGGCAGCAGTTCAGCTTTCCTGCCTCCCCTACTCGCAGCCTTGCAGTCAGAGGAGAATTTACAGCCCCGTGCTTCCCAGGGGCTGTAGCTGCTCCTGCCTTTTCTCTCACAAGGGGCTCACCACTCTGCCACAACCCTGCTGGAGCTGCCCCCACTAGGGCTCTTAGGTACATTTTGGGACCCTTTGCATGCTCACAGCACTAACCATGCCCTGTCCTCTTCCTGCAGGTAGAGCTGAACATGCTGGCTTGAAAACCTTTCCTTCCTCTCTCCTACATGTCCTTCCCATTGGAACAGTCTGCTCCTCACTGCTTCAAAACAGGAAAAAAGAAAGACCCAGGTACATGCTTTACATAATGCCTCGATACTCATCCCTTTCAGACAGGCAGAATGCCTCCCTGGCACATGGACACTGTGGACAACTGCTCTATTGCTACCACATGTAAAGTCTGTGGGAGAGAGCCCAGGAATTTTATTTTTCCTACTTGAAGCACAGTGCAATGAACAGCAGTGACAAATGCCACACATTCACCCCACCTCCACTTAGAATCTGTGGACCTTGCTGCCCTGGCCTCTGGTAATTCAGCCCCTAATCAAAGCAGTCTCTTAGCATGACATTCTTTACCCTTGGTTGCTGGCGTGGGTTCTTGTGTCTTCTCTCCGGGATTCGACCACCACCAGTGGTCTGAGAACGGATTCCACCAAGCTTGCGTGGTGGTTTCCTCCAGGTTGTCAGGATGAGGCCCTGGAGCTGTTAGGACATGGCTCTTTTAACCAAGATCTTGTGATTATTTCTTGAAAAGCAAGAATTTTCCTCCAGCAAAGTCAAGTCCACCAGCACCAGCACCTTGAGCACGCTCATGCCAGAGACGGATGTCAGAGCAGGGCGAATGCATGAACCCATGGGGTCATGACATTCCTGCAACACGTAGCCAGATGCAAGCGCTTTTAGCAGTCCCAGGAAAGAACAGGCTCCCTTGAGAACAGCCCTCAGAAAGCCCTGTGGGGTTTTAAACCCCTCCACGTTCCAGAAGGTTAATGAGTTCCTCACAGGCTCTGACAGTGGCAGAGAGTAGATAGTCTTTGAAACAGAACTTCCACCAAGACGATATAAATTAAAAGATGAAAAAAGTATCCACAAAGCCAATGCTGCCAAGAACCTGGACTCAGAACTGAGGCCATTCCTCTCAAAAGGCCCATGCACTCCCCTTGACCTGATGCTGTCAGGTAATTTGACACCAGAACCTCTTTCCAGGTAAGCATTAGTACATTGCATTGAGAGAGACACAGCTTTACTCCTATCACATTACCAATCCACAACATTGTCTCAAAACACAGGATATAAAATTTCAAGTTCTACAGCTTTGTGACAGATATTTATGAATGGAAAGATGTTTCTGCTTAGAAAAATTACAATAATCTACAGCCTTTTCATCCACTGTGCATCCAAAGAGACATTGGCTTGCAAATAGATAGAAATGTGTCTATCACATCTGGATGAAAAATAATCAGTCAGACTCATTGTTCATGTAGGTAGCTCATTAATAATTAGAGTCCTACACTAGATTCATGGCACACCTAGAGATGAATCATAATTTGCTGATAACCGAGAGTAAAACCTGTTTTGGCAAGGAGAGAAAGCTAATGGTAAAGTGCTCATGGTGTATTAATCTGGACCATTAACTTGATGGAGAACACTACTAGTGATGTCCAAATCTAGAGAAATAATGAATGTGCATCATCTGAAGAACAAAGAGCTGTGCCAATTGCTCATTTCAAATCATAGCAAAGAATTCTATAGATTAAGCTAGATATCTTTTCAAAAAGCTTTAATTTTTCAAAGGACTTGCAGTACAGGTGGAGAGCCACCAATTTTGTTTCTCACTTTAACACACTATAGATTTAGATGATAGATTTTCAGCCATCTATCTGAAGGTATATGACAAATACTTTACTTATTTTTAAATTTTCTGCTTCCCTGTCTGTGGGATTTTTTTATGGGAAATTAAATTGTGGCCAGGATATTCCACTGAGCCTGTACTGCTTTATGAGCTAAAGAACAGATGTTGGGGCATGGCTTTATCTTCTTTTTTGGACTGCTCTCCATGTCACTTCCTCCTGTTCTACTGAATATTTGATGACTTCTCAGAGAGATGCACAGCTTATACTCTACCTCTTTCTAAAAGGAGTGCTACCTTACTGATTCATTTATAATGCAGTAAAATTAAATTGAGTTAAACACTTTGGCATTAAAGTGATGTCGCTGGGTAACAGCCAAAGCTATCAGAAAAACCCAGGTGCACTGCTTTCTTTATCTTTTTCTTTTTTTTTTTTTTTTTTTTTCAGAAAACCAGTCTATCAATCCTAACCCTGTAAACAAACATGCCAATGTTATCACTTCTGTGATACACATTTATCAGTATTGACACATTTTATCACATTGCTCTACAGTTTCTTTGATCTTTTCAGATCTTAAACATCTCCGGTTTCCCATCTGGAAAACAGTCATGCCCATGAGAGAGAACTGCTAGCAACAGGAAGGGACATACATATTTAGGACCAATACATTTGATAATCAGGTATTAAAATGAAAACAGAAAGCTTTCCTCTACAGAAACAATGCACAGGTTTTTGCAGTGGGTACAGAAACACCAGTACAAGGAAACAACAAGTCACACGTGCACATAGAAGCAAACATATAGGAAGGAAAAATCACCATCAGAGTCAACCAAACTCCCCACTATTACCAGGTGGGATTTTATGCACCCTCCACCTCTTACAGGCAACATTTTGTAACAAAAGCTTTCACTGGAAATAAGCACCAGCAAATTCTCTACTTTCTTCAAGGTCTGCGGTAAAATCAACCTAATATTTCTTTTTCCACCTACATATTTATAAGGTGTAACTAACTTTCACATCTTCTGAGAAAAGTTCTTTGGGTTTAATAATGTATGTCTTTTAGCAAAGTTTTTGCTAACTGTGTAATTCATAGTCATTCTTCCTCTATCCTGTGTTTTCCAAATACAATGACAAGGGCACCACTTCTCCAAGTCTCTTAGACCATTTGACCGTCTAACAGCAACCAACAGACAATCAAGCAAATTCCTCATGGATTCCCCTGATGGGGAGAAAAAAGAAAAGAACCAGTGGGAAGAAATTTTCATTTCTATCAGTTTGATCTTTACTACAACATGCCTCTGTAGATTTCTTCTATATAATTAAAATGTTCTCCCTTTAGGTTCACGTTATTTTATGAGGCAAAGATCTTTATCACTCTAACCATAAGAACTAGTGTGAACATACGTATGTTATTTCCACTTTAAAATGTGGATGAGGACTTCAAAAGCTTTTTATTTATTGTAGCTGCTGTGCAGTACATATTTGATAAAATCATCAGAAGCAGTTTCTCCAACTCAGTAAAGCTGTTTAAGGACAAAGAAGAGAAAATGGCTACTGTTCTTCTGGGTCCTCAAAGACTGTGGAGCCACCACAGCCCTCAATTTTTTCTCATGCATATTGCAAACAGCAAGGATGAAATTAGTTTTTGCAGCGCACAAATGGCTCAGCAGTTGAAACTGCCATATAAAGCACTACCTTGCTTAGCAAGGCCATGATTTTGACATGGATTATCTAAATTCACAACAATAAATATATTAGAATAACATCACAAATCTACAAAAATATCTTTTTTGACCTCAGAAATAATTGACTTCAAGTGATAACAAGTTGATATAATTTGTGATGCCTCACAGAGTAAGTAGGTGTGGTAAAACAGCTGTGGGAAACCCAAAATAACAATCTTTCTGAGCTCAGCTACAAGCTCTGAAGCAAACATACTGTGAATGATTTTGCTCCCCTTGCCTAAGAGAGTGAAGTTCGTTTCCCACTTAACCAGTCTGGAAAGTAGTGCATTTCAATGTCTTTCCAATTTTTGAGGTGTTGTATGCTTCACCACTTACCAGAATGCCCTTCTGGAAGAAGAAAGCAGTTTTAATGTGATCTATGTGTAAAGTAGTTATTATGAAACGTAAATCTTACTAGTACTTGCAGGATACTGCCCGTCATCCTCTTCATGGAAATCACCAGCCACCGTCCCCAAAGAGATGTCAGGTGATACAGATGGAAATTCATCATCTGTATGGTGATGGATAAATCATTACTATTCCATTAGCCCAGTTGCAACACACAACTCACAAATACTTCAACTATTCTGCCCTGCAAGCTTCATTCCTTCGTTTATTGGTCTGAGAGGGAAGAAAGAGGCAGACCCCACCTAAGCTTACCTTACTGACACAGTAAGGATATCACTCAGATAATTTGAAGAATGTATTACAGTGAAAATGAACATTCTGGAAACCATCTGTTCATGTGATCCAAGATCTCATTGTAGCTTTATGCCTTGAGGACAGGGATCCTACAGCAATAAGTGAAGTTATTTGTATTCCCCTCTGCTGACATATATTTTGAGATTTAGCCCAAAAATCTATTTTACACAGGCAAGCAGAGCTGGTAAGAGTTGTAATGGCAACCAACAGAAATATACAGCACACACCTTGGGGAATGTGGGGAATGTTTCTGATCCTAGCTCCTTAACAAGAGAATCTCAGGATTTACCTTTCATGGTGCTAGCTACATGTCAAAACAAGCATAACATGCCATGAGTATACCACCAGTGAAAAGTAATTTTATAACCCAAATGCTCTTGCCTTTTTTTTTTTTTTTTTTTTTTTTTATTTCAGTGTAAATTGAGGATAGTGATGCAAAATACTGGTATCCAGCACTGGTAAGTTACTGGTAATCTGATAAAAGGCCTGTAGTCACACAGTAAACTTTACTGTACTTAGAGGATGACTTATACCTGTATCCCCAGTGTTCAATGGGAACGAGTCTTTCAGACTTCTGATAATTTCAGCCAGACAAGCAACATAAAAGATTAAATAAAAATAAATAGAAAAGAAAATAGCATTTGTATTTGGCAGAGCACCATGGAATTAGTGTCAACCTACTGTCCTTACCATAATCTTTTCCAGTAATTCCTTTTTCACCTCCTCCAGAAGTATGATCTGTCAGCTGTGAGACTGGAGTAGGACTCCCATAATAGGAGGGGCTGGATCTCCTGATGGAAGCATCCATGGGAGTTGTCTCATGGGTTGATCCACTCCCTGCATTTTCATCATCCACCCCTGAGGTTGAGGACTCTCCGCCGGTGTGACGTGTGCCATCCACGTTGTAACGGGAGCCATCCGCGTTGTCAATGACTACGGAAACGGAATTAAACAGCTCATGTCAAGCTACACAGCCACAGCAAAGAGAAACACCTATGGATTAATACCAGCTCACCCATTTTTTCCCTCCTGTCTAACCTAGATAATACATCACTAGAATATGTCTAATACATGTATGCTAATTTATATCTTTTTTACATTTGTAGGGCCTGACTTGCATTACTTATTTTTATCAAACTGCTTGATTTTAACATAAGATCTGGGAATTTGTAAAGTCAATCAGAATTTAGAATTGGAAGAAATGATTTGTTATGAGCCTTCTTAAAGCTTCCAGCAGCTTTTCTAACAAATAGCTCAAATTAGATGTAGGAAGGTTGCAGTCTTAAGCAAATTCCTTTATGTCAAAGGGATGCCAGCAGGTCTGAGATGCCAGAAATATCAAATACCTATATAAAGAATGTTTGGTACCCTGAGATAAACCAAACTCCATAGGCTTTAGGGGATGACAACTGACTAGTTGTTTCACTGCTATTGAAAATCTCTTAACTTCTTTTTCTTATGTTTGGCTTGGCTTTTTTAATATTAGTGATTGTTTATATAGAAATAAGATAACCAGTTACTAAAAATTGAGCAAGTGCATGTCTTTCTTATCAGTACAGTACCTGTTTCATCCTGATTACTCAGTAAAGAAGTATCTATTCTTACAACTGGCTCACATGTTTTTTCCTCTGTTTCTGTGAAAGAAGGAAAAAAGAAAGTAATAATTTGAAAAGAAAGGATTAAAAAAATCACATGCATTATACCCACATCAATTGTACATAATAACAAAACATCAGCTTCAGATGAGGAGGATTGAAAACAAATTTCCAGACAAATGTTATTCACTGATGTACCACCTTCCTAGACAGGGCACTTCGAGATTGTTCTGTCAGCTAACAACAAGGGTTTCTACTTCCATAACCATTCCAGAAAATGGCTGCAATCAATGCCAAGTGGAACAGCCTTAGGACCCAGTTTCAATGCAGTCAGACCCACTGTCATTGTGGCAGTGGCAAGTCTGACCCCTTTGAGCTGGCAAACTCCGTCCCCTGCATGGAGGGCTCTGCAGAGGCAGCGTGTGCCCTGCTCCAGTGAGCACTGCTGGCCCCGGTGGGCTGAAGTGCCCCACCTGGGGCTGCTGTACGAGCTACCTGCTCATGCTGCTGTAGGGAATAATACTTGGGAGGAGCAATAAAGATCTGGGGGGGATGGACTTCACCACAGTAATCATCTGTGAGTGACAGACAACAGCAACTCACATGATACTATGCCAATGCAGAGATTTTTAATTGTATCATCACCAAGAACAAAATGAAAAAATATCACTGCATTCAAATCATCAATGAACTTTTCCTACAGCTTTCTGTAAGAACTCTCTTCTTTCACTATGAATGGCACAATCTACTGAAATTCAAGATACTTGAAGTTAGTTTAGATTTTATTTTCAAATACTGTGTTCAGCACCTCTCACGGACTATGCACGCTTTCCTCATGATTTACTATAGTATCTCCAACTATTAAAAAGTTCAAAATCTTAGATGCAAGCACTCTGCTGCTGATGCACATCCAGCTGCCTCGTGTCTAAATGGAGATTTGCCTGAGCAAATACTGAATGAATCTGCAAAGAGGAGAGCAGCAGCCACGTCCGTGGGTCTGGGGTGGCCATTGCAGGCCCTGGAGCTGCTGCAGGTGGCAGCCACCCCAAAGCACAGAAAACTGCTCTTGGCTCTACAGCTCATGAACAGAAGAGCTGAGTGCCATGGCTGACAACAGTTATGTCTTTCAGATTCACTTCTGCAATGGTTCACTTCACTAAGCCATTATAATGAACTGCTCTGAAGCTGCAAAGTTTGTCCCAAGGCCAGGAAAGTGATTCACACTTTTAACACTGATAACAAAATGGTCATTGCTGACATGACAGATACACTTCTCGAGGCTGACAAAATGTATTTATTCCCAGTGAAAACCAGGCTATGTTTATTATATAAGCCCTCACTCCAATACCTTAAATAGGAGATTACATACGTTATTTTTAGCCAATCTGTTTCCAAAATGCATCATCAAATTGTCTCCTTACCTGTCGCATTGTAACAGTATGCATCGTACCGAGCAGTTGTATTTGCTGAAAGTTTGTAAATGCCAGTGTTATTTGCTGCACAAAGGTGATAGGGATTGATCCGTGGGATAACAATATGCCCCACCACGAAACCATACCTGTGAAGAACAGAGGTAAATAAACCATATTACTTACTATTGCAGATGTCACCTCAAACCTTAGGAAGCTACAAAGAAGCCATTATTTTTAAAAAGTGCATGTATTTATTCATACTGTTTTGTTGCATTTTTGTTCCTTTTTCATTTGAGTGTTCCTTTCTCACATGTGGCTACATCAGTCTCCCATCACTCAACATAATTTTGTGTTTAATTTCTAGACCTAAACCCATTTAAATTAAATATGTATCTTATTAGCTAGGTAAGGTGATCAGCTCCAGAGCAAGGGAGTGAAAGTGACAGAGACAAGCACACTTTTTGTTCAGTGTGAGTTTGTATTTCCTGACACTAAATTCCCATTCTTTTTTGATTCACATTTTCATTGCTTTGACATAACACACTGTTCAGTGACACTTCCCTCAGAAATGTTGAGGGCTCAATTTATGGTACTTGAGCAAGTTTAAAGAATGATTGCAACACACATAATTTTCTGCAAAAACTGACAGCCTAGTAAAATATTCAAATACAAGAACTATTCATGCACAAATTCTTACTGTATCTTTCAGTTGAACAGTGTGATTATTGTGCACAGAGCTCACATAATTCAGTGAAGACTGTGGTTACACAAGGCATAATAAATACATTACTACTGTTTTGCAATCCTGTAACACCTGATTGATTCCAATGCATTTAACAGGAGATGTGATAGAACGGTGGTAAGAAGTGGGGTTTGGTTTGGGTTTTGCTTTACTTCTTAAGAGGAATGATTAATCAGGAAGGAGTAAATGTCACAGCTTTGCAGTTTTTTATCTATGAACATCATTCCAGTTTCATGTCTAAAGTGCAGATACTTGCAATTCTGAAACTCTCTTGTAGGTGGAATTATAAATTACTTTACTCACACTCCCAACTAAGCTTACAACGCTGACACTTTACAAACCATTATTGACCTACTTTTGTTATGTTCTGTTCATTCATCTTATTCATATACATTTGGATGGTTATATGCAGCATATTTTCCCTCTGCCAGTCACATTTAATAAGAGTTAAAGCTCACTGACTATTACTGAGGACTACTACTAGCACTGGATCAACAAACGAAAGTAATGGGGTTGGAGGGCTGGCCAGAAGGAAGGGAGGAAGAAATCCTGTCTACATGGCTTACATGTCCTAATCTGTCCTCTGGTAAATTGTGAATTAGGGAAAATTGTAACAGTAATTAAAAATTACAGCTTCCCCCTGGGGAAAAAAAAAAAAAAAAAAATCCCTCTTCTTCTTTCAATTTCCTTTATATTTTAGCTTTAGAAAATACATTCCATAGTTTAGAATACTCATAATTGCTTGCATAGAAATCTCTACCCCTACGCATTATTTCGGATTTGATCTCTAAATACTGTGTAGTGCTGGGCAATTCAGAATGCTGTGTATGTTCATGTGCTAATGTCAGAAAAAGAACATGCCTACTGTGTTGTGAAGGACTTTCCCCACAGAGTAAAGAACTGCTTCTAGTCTTTACGTGGTACAATTTTAAATTGCATTTCCACTTCTGATGGAAGAAACCTCTAAGAATTCTCTGCTCACATATTTCACCACCACAATACTTGTGAAATGAACATGCCAGAACAGGAAATAGTTGCAAGCAGTATTGATGTCAGCACTATTTAATTTAATTATTTAATTTTTTTGAATGAAAAGTTTTCTGTAACTCCTAGTCTCTTGGTCTGGTCATTTTTTGAGAAACTGCAATTGAGAAAATGACCAGACATTTTTTGAGTCTGTATCATCTGTATCATTGTTGTCCTATACATTATTAATTACAATGGGTAATTAGGTCACTTGACAACGTGATTTTGGGATTTTTAATAACTACTGTAGCTGTCATTTGAAACATGTCCATTCACAGATTACAGGAACACACTGATACTGTGGCCACTTCTTCACTGGGATGTCAGGAGTTCATCCCTCATGGTACCACCTGCTGCTTTTATTGTTCCTTGGCAAGACCCAGTTCCATACAGGGCATACACTATCCTCAGCCTTTGACTTCACCTTGGTCATATTTTCTTACCATTACTTATCTTACCAATTGTTCAGTGATACACTGTGATCTGAACATCTTCCCGAGTGGCTTATTATACTGTCAACCTTTTGTTGCCTTTAGATGATCTGTGAGAGGCTATGTTTTTTTTCTAAGATAAATGGTAAAAACTACATGCATCAAGGACTTGCTTGGTACTGGACCCAGAGCAAACGTACACGTGTGCAAAGATGTTTTGTTCATTACAGAATATAACTTACTTAGCTGATCTTGACACCTACAGTAAGTCAAATATAATTATTACACTAGTGGTGTCATGATATATTATGTTTTCAAGAATTTCTTTACCTGCAAGTTTCAAATCCAAGCTCATGAGCTTTCTTCAGCTGCTCTAGTGTTGCCAAGGTACTGTTGAGAGCTCTGCAGAGTTCAACTGCTTCAGATCGTGTGAGACTGTAGCGACCATTTTTTTCAACATGAAAAACTCCTCCATATCTGCAACTTACATTGAATTCTGTTATCAAAAGAAAAAAAAAAAAAAAAGGTTAAAAATTTAGACCTAATGCTTCACCAAAGACCTGGAAATTATTTCTTTTCAAGTACAATGATTTCAAGGCAAACCTGAAACAACTAGCAGTGGCCAATTCATTCAGAAAAAGCACTGCCATTTTCAATCACTTTCTTCATACCTCCCCTCTTTGGGCTGAGGCATGAGCCATATCTCCAGCCTTCCCAAAAATAGCAATACAATATATTGTTTCAAATATATGCAAAACATATGTTTTCATGAGGTATCTAGGACTTTTGACATACCATTAACACTTATGTGCAGAAGAAAGGGTTAATAATAATAGTATCAATACAAATAAAAAAAATAATGTGCGTGGAGAGAAATGGGGAAACAACAGGACACTTCAAAGCAATGTGAATTAATTTTGCTTCTGCCCCACCTTTCCCTCAAGAGAAAAAAAACAGTTGCAACTCCAGACTAGAATGACAACTGCTAAGGACACTTTATAGGAGTAGCTATTATTTCCAGTGCAAAGAGGAGCATGACTCATTTTTATCTTAATTTTAATGGAAGTTCCATGTGCAAGAAAGGGAAAAATAGACTGGTGTTCTCCAATATTAAAAGGATGTCTCCTTACTGTCTATTTGAAAAAAAAAAATTACATATAAGAACTGTTTTTCTAAAAGACACGAAACACAATTCACACACATTTGCATTGACACATTCTAAATAATGAGCAACTTTCCTAATGTAATTTTTGTTTGACAGTCTATTTTGCTCTATAGCACATTTGCAAAAGCAAATGATAGCAATCAAGGCATGCACTCCTTCTTTAATTACTTTTGTCCATTCATAAACTGATGTTATTCTGTGTACAGGGTATCTACTCAGTGTAAACTGAAAGGAGTTTTCCTTTCCTTAGCTCAGAGGAGATAAAATACCAGATTAGATGCAGACTGGGTGATGTATGAGAGGACAACCACTATTCACAGCACAAGTAGGAGTCCAATAGTGTTGCTGCTTGCTTGTCCAAAGGAGCTCTAAAGCTGTGCATCTAACCTTGAATACTTATACCATAGGCAACAGGATTAATCATTACTGCTACTTGGATAGCCTTTCCACAAAAAGAATGAAAAAACTACCTTTCTCCAACTGTTGTTCCCCCTTCCCCAGTATAATGGCTGACAAAAACATTTAATTTAGGCAAAATCAATTTGTTATTTCAGAGCTGTTTGACAGTTTTGCTGATTACAGTTCTTAGTAATTTTAATACTTTTATTATCATATGTCATTAAAAAACATATGGCCCATCTGTCACTCCTTAAGTGCTATGGGATGGAGCTGCTCTCACATCTGCCATGCAAGCAACTTCTACTTTGGCTCCAGATGCCTGACATTGTCTTGGAAATTGTCCAGTCAGTAGCTGTATTAAGCATAAATGACCTAGACAAGAAAAAGGTTTCTCTTCAGTTTTCCCTTCTTATATTTTAATATAAAATATACTCTGCGAGACCCAAGACTTAATGTTAAATATGGGATCACATCACAAAGTTGTATTTGATTACCTTAAAGTAACAAGCTCAGTGATTTTGGAGATAAATTTTCTTGGAGCACCCATCAACATCTTTTCTGATAATTTTAGGCTAATTTCTAAAAAGCTTTTGCTGTGAAAGCAGCATACACTTGCTTTGGGTTCCATTTGATCGCAGTTAATCCTAGATTCATTGAATTATAAAGTCAAGTTCACTTTTGTTTAGAGTGAGTTGATTTAGCTGTCATCAAGCCTCAACCCATACAATTTATGCTCTATTACCACTCTGAGATTCAGTCATAGTCAGAATTCCACTTAGAGAGTCAATTACTTAGACTTCTGCTGTTTAAAATGGTAGGCTTATTTACACAAATAGGTTTAATGGAACTCCATGTGGGCTACGTGCCTACACACGTGTATGTTTTCCATGGAAATGCTCAGCCTGAGTAGACCCTGCAGGCCAGGACACTGCTGGGAGGTACCAGGCTCTCTGCACGTGTGCTGCCCAGCTGCACTGCTTGCACACACAGGAAGCCTTGCTTGTGCAGCATGAGACATCACATGGGTGTCCAGGAAACCCCTGGCAAAAATGTGGCAATCCAGTTCTCAAAACTGGCTTTGAGGCCATCCAATTCCTTGGCACTGTGCCCTGAAGTAATGCTGAGACAGCATCTCTGATTTCACTTTGATGATATCTTCTACGCCTACTATTCCAAAAGTACCACTGCTCTAGCAGAGACACTCTGTTCGTGAAGAGCTGAGTACAGAAAAAGGGCCAAAGCAGTACCCAAAACTCACATGGTATTTCACAGTCTAAGCAAATTGCGTAAATTCAGCATCTACTCTTTGAAGGCAGTAATTACCACATTTTAAAAATGACAAAATACAAACCCAGAGCTGTCAGGGAACAAAGCATTTTAACTGTATAGCCTCAGATTTGAATGTTCACACAATGGGGACCCTTAACTGAACTAATGAAAAAATATTCTCATCACACCAATAAATACCTTATCAAAAATAAATGATGGGATCTAAACTAAATTAATACCTTATATTTTTTTTTTTTCCCCATGCTGAGGCTTTTTGAATTAAGGAAGAAACATGACTGTCAAATTTAAATTAAAATACATATTTCACCTTTTCCCATAGGGCAGGAAGGTCAAAACAATTAATTTTATGTTGATAATACTTAGCTGGCTTTAACACAGTTATCCAAAAGATGGATTTTCATTGTGCTCCAAGTGTCAAGGCCATGTAAAACTCATTCTGCATGACAAGCTATTGCTGATCCTTTTAACGTTTTTGAAGCTTCAAAGGGGCTGACTCAGAGTAGACTCACAGTGAAATCACCAACAGCACACAAACTTTCCCTCCTTCCCCCTCTTAGAGGTGTCTGGCTTTGGGGCCTGATAGGACACAATCCCTTCTTCCTTCGTCCACATGACTTGCTACAGCTGTTTAATAATAAAAACAGTACAAAATGCATCGAATTGTCATAATCCATAATCTCACCCAGACCATGAGATTGGGTGACACAAACCAAAGCCATGGAATGCTCCTGTCTGTGCTGAGCTTTATGAGCACGGAAAATATAAACTTCCATATAGGCCATTGTCCCGATCTTTGCTGGGAGTTCTGGTGCCCTCTCTCAAGCAGCTGCATGCAAACCTTTCTCTGCTATCCTCATTCACATATCTAAATCAGGTTTAATTAATATTTGTCAGCCAAAATCACTAACTTTGGTTCCCCACACAATTTGCTAGCTAGAGCTCACTGGTAGGGTAGAATCGCCTCACACGGACTAAAGAGCATTGTCCTGTCAGAGAAGTGTGAGTTACACCCTGATAATTAATAGGAGAGGCTTGTTAGAAACTGTCACTGTAAGAAACCAGGTGCAATTTCCATTTCCACCCTGATTCTGCAACCCTTATGTATAATGAGTAACACTGACTCATGCTAACTCTTCCCACTGGAATTGATTTTCCATTAAGATTTTTGGTACGCTGTATGGATATCCCATGCACTACTCCCTGCTTTTCACTGTTCTCAAGAGACCCCCTGGGGGTTTCATTCTCAAGGTGGGCTCTGTCTTGTATTTGAGGAAAAAAAAAAAAAAAAGAAAAGAAAAGAGCAGTTCTTTCAGCAACTGCAGAGACATCAAAGCAAACCAAGTGGAAGATCTGCGAACACCCTGCCCACTTGAACGAAAGCATGTGTAAGACTTGTACGTGTTAACAGACTTCTTGGTAAAACCGCACGCTGAATTGCATGGCAACCAGGAAATGTTAGGGGGATGTTTTGGTGGGGATTTTCCTTTTCTGTTTGTGGTTCAAGATGATTGATAGGCCACCAGGATGTGCTAAACTGGGGCTGACAACGGGGAGAGAACTAGAGGTTTGGCAGTGCATACAGTTTTCATTCTCTTTGTTTTAATAGAAAATAGGATTTACATTTACTGTAAGAACTTGATTCTAAATTTATTAAACTGATTTCTAGCTCTAGGCAGATATACACGGGTAAATGTTTCCTTATAATCACAGATCATTGAGTTTTGTACTAACACTTCTGAACAGGAACAACCACCAGTTTAGCACTGATAGCTGCATTTTGAATATTATCACCTGCTTTAAACGTATGCTACTAATGAAGTAACAAAAAGTAACATACTAGAAACAGACTAAAATACATTTAAAAGAAAATCCTAATAATTATGATTTCCCTTCAGGCCATACGAGTCCTAAAATCTGGGGAGGTCTGGGCAATCCAGAGTTCAGACCTATCTCTAATTATGCCTGGTTTTCTAACTTTCTCAAGAAAACTACTTCATGGCTAAATAAGATGCATATTTTAATGCATATGCTAAATAAATGCATATTTTACTTCTGACTTGAGGAAATGGCCTCTGAATACAAAATTTCATACAGGATGGATTAATGAAACATTTCAGGATCCAAAACATTTTGTCAATGTTAGTTTGATTACTGCCATTTTGACATCTGCGAGAACTTAAATGTACAAAAAATACCATTCAGAGATTACCTAATACACTACAACACACATGGGCCTGGAAGGCATTATTTGCTGAGTATTCTACCTTTTTTTTAGAGTCTATTAGTAAAAAATTTCACTCGAGCAACTCGCAGCCCAGGCAACTGTAACAGGATACAAAGGCTTTTACCTTTATGTCAGAAGTTGGACTAAAGCCCAAGTCAGTGATGAAAACCACTGGATAGCTGTTTGCTAGGTTATGTAAAATGATTCATTAATCCCAGCCACAGTTACTAATAGACACGTGTCGACATCATTAAAACACACCTATACTTGAATCCCTTGGGGCTTGATGAGCAAAGGGAATCTGCTGGGAAAATAGGACTCAAAATTGGGATGACTACACACTGATCAAAATTCAGAAGTCAAATTTGCAAGACCCAGGTGAATGAAGCAAGCATTCCTTTACCATCCCAACACAAAA